GCAATGGCCGTACTCGGCACGTGCTGTGAGCGCGGCCAGCCAGAGAATGTGCAGTAGCAAGCGGGGAGGTGCCCGCACGCTCAGCAGGTGGGGTGGCGTCCCCCCGTATCCTGTGGTCCCCTACCGTCGATGTGGCGCCAAGCCACCCGACTCGCCCGAGGGCTGAGAGTGCAGCCAATGCCTAGCAGGGACCCCGGCCATCGTCCTACGGTGAGGATCCTGTTCATGTGACTATGGGTGTCGGAGAAGAGGACGGTGGGCCATTTTGGGGGAATTTTCCACTGCCGGTGTGCAGAGGATTTTCCCCATGGAGGTTGTGTTCGTCATGGTATTGGATGACTTGGTGGGTGGTGTGAAAGCCAAGGCGATAGAATGGGAAAATAGGTCCCCAGGGAACGGCCAGAAGCAAAGGCTTCTTTCAGCAGATGACATTTGGTTAACCAGCCAAAGCACTTTCTGGAGTAGTCTGGGAGGTGCCCACCTGCTGAGCAGGTTGGGGGGCATGCCCCCATATCCTGTTTTTCCCTGTCATCTCCGTGACACCAAGCCTCCCTTTTCATCCAATGACTGAGTATTCGGCCTTTGCAACGCGGGGCGCCCTGGCAGCATCCGATGGCTTGCCTGCAGGAGCGCGATCGGTGAAACTTACCTGTGGAGGTCACGACTGTCGTGGTTGCAGGTGTAGGTGTTTGTAGATGAGCAGGTGTTTGTATTGGAGTTTGTGTTTCTGTTGTCTTTGTCATCTCAGTGGTTGGAGTGGTTTTTGTGGTAGTGGTCTTTGGTGGTCTCGTTGTCACTGTGCTTCTTGACATTGTTGAAGCATAAGGTGTATTTGTTGTTTTCTTTGTAGTGCTGGAAGGTGTTTGTGTTGGTGTGCTTGAGACTGTAACGGGAGAGTTAATGAACATTGTGGCTGAGTTCATTGAATGTTAATAACCATCTTCAAGTGCTAATGAATTAATTGTGAATATATTTTTTGTGTTCTTTCTCCATTGTATAGATATATTTAGAGTTGAGATCTGTGTAACTGTAACTGAAAAGTGTTGCACAGGGAAATTTTTAGAACGAGACACAAATCATCAAAGTCTCTGAGATGGGATTCCATCCCTTCGAGTGAATTTAGCTTGTAGGACACTGATCTTTAATCCGCTAGTGCATGTGTGGAAAAATGTCACGATATGAATTTTGAACTCATCATGTCTCCTGTAAATACATGTAGTGTATGAGTACAGTGTAACAAGCCTTCACCGAAGTAATATTTTATTGTAATACCATTCCGAGAGCATTTGGTAGTGGATGTTATACAAAAGTTTTAAATAAAGAAATAAGAATATAAATATTCACTTGAATTAAGTGTATTAGAAATTTGTTGTTCCAATAGTTATCGATGGAAGTGTTGCAGTGGTTGGTATATTTTCGTTTGTATATTTCCTCTGGTGTAATTGTGAGAAGTGTGGTGGCAGCTTTTCTTGTTGGAATAATGTTGAAAAGGGAGGTACAGATCATGGTGTAAGCTTTAGAGCAAGGAAACTTGGTTTCCTTCACTGGGCTGGAGCTGATTGGTGTCTTCATAGCCAGTGATATATACTTTCCCCATTGAATTACAGAGTGAGGAGGTGGGAAGAGTGGACTATTTTTGTATATGTCCGTGCATTATTTAAGTCTGTGACATCTGTCAGCATTGTTGTTTTGATGGGAGGTGGACAGATCTTTAGGGGGTAGGAGTGCATGTTTTGTGTGAGAAATGGTTTGTGCAAATTAGGGATGTGCAAGGCCCTGAGTATATGTTCCTGGTAGGCATGCCTGGTGTTTGCAGGGCACTTCCCAGGAACTGAGCCCCACATGCTGTGCAAGAAGTGCCGCATTTTCATGGCTGGTGCTACCACTGCATGCTACATCAATTAGGGAAGAAGATTGGTCACCAGGAATGGTGCCTGGCATGGCTGCTTGAGGTGGCTGTCTGCCATGTCCTGTAGCCACTCTCTGTGTGGCTGCAGGTGATGGGGAAGGTTGCTAGTTGCACAACCAGGGATCCACAAGCATTCAGACTTCCTCTTTGCTTGGCTTGTTTTGTAGGATCAGACTGAGCATAAGAACAAGTCCACCAATGTTAGTGGAACAAATTCCAAAGTGATTCATCCCAACCTGATGTGAATATGTGTGTATGTTATGTGTCAACATTCATATTTGTATGTGAAGAAAGATGCATGTGTTGTGTTATGTTTTATGTGGGCTTTTGGGTATACCACATACTTTAGGTTTGAGATAATCCATATTTTGCAAGGGGTGGCCACCTTTCTTTGGTATGGTGTTTCTGTAACCTTTATGTAAAGCAGGAGTGGGCAAGTCCTAATCCTCAAGTTGTTTGACCTACAATTCCCGTCCTCCCACTCCATTGGTGATGTTGACTTGGTTGGGAGGAAGTGGTAGGCCAAAAGATCTGCAGCACTACAAGTTGTCCACCCCATTGTAATGTGATCTAACTCTTACTCTTGAACTGAAAAAATATTCTCTATCCTGGTTCAAGTTAAACCTATTGCTTGTGTGTTCAGAAGTAAGAACTCTTCAGTGCCATGGAGTTTACTTCCAGGTAAGTTAGATCCAGCCCTCTTAGTGTCATATATTTTAAAAAAATCATTAAAAAATTGTACTCACCAGTTGTTAATGGTGATGGAGTGGTTATTGGTGGAGTTCCTGGTTAGAAAAATAAGTATGTGAGCATAATGTGAAATATAACATGTTTTATGTAATCAAAGAGTTTCAGAGTTTGTGCACATCGGTATACTTCATTTTGACTCCAGGCATGTATATCACTCAAGAGGCAAGGCACCATGTGAACTAGGGATGAGCAGAGAGTCTGCTTTGGGCAGAAAACCTGCTGGATTCGCTAGTTTGGGCTTACTGGACTCTGATCTGTTTTGTAGTAGCCCAGAGTCTGAGTTCCTGGCAAGCATGCCCAGGTTTGTGGGGCGCTCATCAGGAACTGAGCCCCACAAGCTGTTCAAGCTGCACCATTCTTCCATGCCCACCACCACCGCCGCCAGTAGCAGCGAGTGGGGGAGAAGTTTGGCCACTAGGAATGGCAGCCGGTGTGTCCTCGTGTTGAGCCCCTTTTTCTTGTGCATCGCTGCTGGTGGCAGCGGGTGGGAAAGAAGTTTCAATGCTGGGAATGGCAACTGGCGCACCTGCTTATTGTGTCCCCTTTCCCTGCCGGCAGGAAAGAAGGTTGGTGGTTGCGCAACTGGAGGTATGCCAGTGGTCTTGGACTTTTTCCAGGCTCAGCTTGTTTCCTCAGAGAGGGATGAGCACTGGAAGAAGTCTAGTGGGCAGGTGCGAACTGGTTTCTGGAGAGGCTTGGTGCAGCCCTAATGTGAACCCATCAAATGTAGCAAGCGCTGTACCCTCTTCCACCAAGTAGTGTGTGCAATTTGCAAAGACGCAGCAGTTCGTGGCCAACATGGATATTGACCTGTGTACATGTGGTTTTCTCACATAGATGTTAAATTCGTGTAAAAATATAATTGATTATGAATATGTTTTTGTTATGACAAGAAATGGTCAAGTAATGTTCAAGGAAAGTTTGGACAACCACATGTTGGGGATTACATGAATGGAGCTGACTGGAGCTGGGGGTCAGACTAGATGGCCCTGGAGTCCCTTCTGACTCATTTTGTTTCCATGTTTCTAATAATAATATAATAGTAGATGTATTCTTTTCCATAATTCGAATTTGATGCAAACCCTGTTACTTTTCAAATTCTACAGTGAAAGTACAACTTTGCATATGAAGATCCAATCTAGAATTCCAGGATCTATATCATTTTAGAGTGATACAATTAGTGGAAACTGCTCAAAGTTCCCATCTGGATAAATTGTCATCAATTATTAGCTAACTGCTTTTTTACAATATGTCCATCAACTAATGTAGACAGTGACTTTCAAAATTACTTAAATTGCAGTAGCTTGTACATTTCTTAAAATTAAGTATAATAGATGGATTACCAATCAGTGATGGCTTTTAGGATCAAAAGAAGGCCCTGGAGATAAACTGACTGCAAAATATGACTGTAGTCCTGTATATCCCATGCAAACATACTAGGGAGTAATTCCAAATAAATCAGTACTGTACATAAGCACAGGATTGCCTTTAAAATGGCCCTTCTTAGTACAGGAACTGTTGTGAACAAGCCATTTAAAAATGGACTTCTTTCTTACCACAAGGTACACAGCCTTTCAGCTTATGATCATAATATTCATCCTTTGAACAGTTGTAACAGCCTAGGAGCAAAGGACAAAGAAATAGATTGTCAAGCAGGCATCAAAAATTTTAGAGCAAATTTAGCTATTAGTAAATATTTGAGAGAGAAGAATTCTTGGCATTTGCAAGGAAGTCCCAGAGAACAAAATATAGATCCAAATTGCCAAATGCAGAAACAGCGCTCAGCTAGGTATTGGAGCTGTTACTATTAGCACTGAAATGTTTCAGCTCTAACTTTTGATCTAAGTACCAGCCTGGTTGCTAAACTGAACATAACTGTTACAGAAAAACGATATCTTTCGAGGTTAGAGAGCGAGGATCCCTTAAATTCATGGGCTGAGACTATCTGAGTTTTAGGTGCTTCTAAAAAACTGGAGACTAGTCCTTGTCTTCTCCCTTGTTCCCAGTCAGCATGGACATTGGAATGATGGCAGTTGCAGGCAAACACATCTGGAGGGCACCCAGTTGGGGAGGGCTGGGTTAGGCAAATTAAGCTGACTTTTCTCAACTTGCTTTGGAAATCACAAGTTCAGAATGATATTTAATTTGACTGCAAGGTGAAATGGAACCATTGCGTGCCAACAGCATTGTCCCAAACAGGAACACACAAACCATTTTGGTCATAGCTGAACTTGACCTGCTGCTGAACAACCACAAAGAATTATTATTTGATTGTACCTTCCAGTTCTATACACACTGTTATGTGTAAGCCTACACAGTCATTCCTGTCAACATTTTATCACTGCACTGGGGCACAGACATGAGATCTAGGGAGAGATCAAAAGGCCTTGTCTTCTCTTCTTGGAGGCATTCACCTGGAGAAACAAATGTACCAGAACTGCCCTACATGAACACAAGAGCTATAGCTGAGGCAGCTATCCACAGTTGCATGGCAACTTTAAACACTTCATGCTGGTACCTGAGCAATGGGATGGCACATGACCAGTATGACCCCTTTATCTCACTGAGGAGCCTCCTGAATAGAAAATGTGAGTGTTCCGTACCATGGTGTTGAGAAGGCACTGCTCTCTCCTGCTCTCTCTCCTCTCTCTGTCAGGTTTGCAACTCTGTTCACTACTGAACCCTTATTGCCACTCTATGTTACCTGAGTGCTACCTGGCCTCTTGGAGGTCAGTGGGACTTGTGCCTTTGGGTTACTTTTTTGCTATATATTTCATGACAACCATATCTTTGTCCAAGCTGGTGATGGCTTTGTTTCCATTCTAGACAAACCCGTTTTCATTCACTTCAAGCATGAGGTGAAATGGAGACAATGGACGAAGCAGTCATTCACATGCACTCCATCTTACCTGTATTCCATTGGGATCATTAATAATTAGGTAAAGTTAATATTAAGTTAATAATTAGGTAAAAAAAGAAAGACATTACTTGAAAATACTTAAAGCTCTAGTTACCAGCAAATGGTGGTTTGGTTGAGAAAAGCAATGGTAATGTCACCTTAAAACAAGCAAATGCGACTGGATTGGCAACATGCTCGCTAGATCACTGGCTAAACAGCATTTTGATGTTTAAAAGGCAAAAGATGTTACCTTCAGTGTTGACATCAGTTGGTGTTGGCATGTGTAGACATTTACAGGGGCGATAATGCCAGCTGCAATTGTATTCATTAGCAGGGTTATAGGAGGTGCCCCCTATGCCACTCTGTGGATGGCTGTTGAAGTAGTCACAGTAGACAGCTAAAATAGGGGAGAAGGTAGGTTTTATTTCACTCCTCACATTACATTCCCCAAAGGAAAGTGTTGGAGAAGAATGGCTTTGCTTTCCCCCATGACAAAGTAGCTAGTGAAATAGCTTCATTAACTTTCGCTTTATGATATGAAAATACATATATTTGACCATTTCACTGAAGGTATAGATGTCACTCATCTATTCACACACTGGATTACCACACATCATCTACCTTGATGGAAACATGCGCAACAGTTGAAGCAAATGGATAGCTGCTCCTTAAAGGCTCAAGGGAATCAGGGTGGCCACTGTTTTTTTTAAAAGGACAAATAGAGTCTTCACCATATTTTTTCTAATGGGCTAAGTTTGGCTGTACCTTGACCTGAGATGTACGGAAAGCTGTGTAGAATTCTATTTTTAACAATGTACCAAGTCAACAGATTTTAGGCTTCCAGCCCCAGATCAGCCCATTGCAAATCAATTTGGATATTGATGAATTTGGCACATGGCTTGAACTATGGAACATGTTCCAAGACAGAGTGTCAGGCAGGTTTTTTGGACTTGCCAGCATGGCCAAAGGTCAGAAATGTTGGAAATCAAAGTCCAAGCCATTTGGATATCTACTTTCTGCCCACCCCGTGAGTTTCGTAGGCCTCATTATAGCATAGCCAATACTCTCTCCATAGCTTAGGGATGGGGAAGCTCTGGCCCATGGGCTGATTTGAGCCTGCTAAGCCAGATTATGAAGTCCCAGGTGAGGCTCCTCCTTGAAGACCTGCCCCTGAATGGAGATAACAGTGGGGATTTCCCACAGAGCACTGCCTGCCATCTCAGTGGTGCTTTGTACAAGATGCTTTGTCTACCCCCGCTCCCTCACGCAGGAACACTAGGGGCTGACAAAGTTACCCCGACCTGAACTGCTGCCTGAAGCACTCACCTAATTTGCACCTGTCAGATCTCTGGCCTTCCTGCATGCAGGCCTTCCTTGGCCAGATGAGCCTCAACCAGCACCTTGACCAGGGACTAGATTACTTCGGGGGGGGGGGGGACAGGGGCATGGCTCTGCTCCTTGACATTGTCTAACCCATAGCGGGCTTGTTGGGGCAGTCATCTAGTCCCTGGACCTCAAACAATTCCCCATCTGTGCTATGCCTGCAACTACACCCAAACTGTGCTTGTCATTCTCTGGTGCCTACAACTGCACCATATTTAAAGTCATTCAACTCTCCCCTGTGGCTGCATTAGCTCCCGAGGGAAGTTTGGGTTCCTAGGAACATGGTTTAAAAACACAGCTCTACAGATAGCATGCTTCCTTCTCCAGTAGTTTTGACAGTTTTGTCAATTTAAAAAGTAGACTTTATTTCTATGTATTATTACATGATCTTATAAAACTGCCAATATACTTTAAAAGCAACAATATGCTTTTCAAAAACAATATTAAGACACTTACGACAGAAATCCGGTCTTCTCCAGTCGATACAGACACCCTTATCTAAGCAAGTTTTTGCATATACTGCAATAGCGTCACACAGGCATTCACAGTCACCGCCAGTATCACATCCACATGCATCCCGGACACAAGCATCATAATAAGGTACACGGTATACCTACAGCAGCGACAGAAAAATTAAACCAGAAAGCAAAAGGTGTTAAGCGAAGGGTGTGTGTGTGTTGCACTTCAGTGGAACCAAGAAAATGATACCCACTAATCAAGCATGCCTGCTGCATTATCATTGCATTATTTTGCATTTGTATTGTATTATATACAAAATACCCTTTTGTATTATCCTGCTGAGTTAACAGATAGTGGTAACAGAACTCCCTAGGTAACCCTAACAGAACTGTTGGCTTAATTTGGGCTTGGACTCAGGAAATTTTCCAAAACATTGAAATTGACTTAGATGCCTTAATTCTAATCACAAAGGTTAGATGCCACTACAGCACTGGCCATATTTTCAGGGGTGCTTTACTGTCCTGCTGAAGAAGACTGAAGGAGGACAGGGTATCATCTTTTAAGTACCTCAAAGGCTGTCACAAAGAGGAAGGTCAAGATCTCTTCTTGCTGATACCAGAGTACAGGACATGGAATAATCAATTCAAGCTGCGACAACCTAGATTCAGGCTAGATATTGGGAAAAGCTTCCTGACAGTCAGGGCGATGCGACAGTGGAACCAGCTGTTTAGAGAGGTGGTGGGCTCTCCCACACTAGAGACATTCAGAAAGAAACTAGGCAGCCATCTGAGTGGGATGGTGTAAATTAGTGTCCTGCAACAGCAGGGGGTTGGACCCCATGGCCTTCATGGCCCCTTCCAACTCTACTATTCTATGTGAGATGGCAGCATGCCAAGTGGAACCACCACCTCCACTAACTGAAGACTAATGGTTTTATATTCAGTGCCATCAACTCATCATGGAGGTTCCACTGAAACTGCCATCTCATGGCCCCATACCTATTTTAGAGTGGTCTATCCTAACTTCCTCTGTGTGCATGGAACATTTGAAAATGTATCTACTGAAAATGGTAATTTCTTGTGGTGCTATCAAGTACTGAAGCAGAATTCCAAAGGGGAGGTAGCAATACTTTTACCTTGGGATGGCAGTCAGCAAATACATTACTGTTGATAATTGAGCACTTCTTCTCTGCCCAAGCTTTCCGATAGGGATTCTTGCTACATGGATCTGCTACGAAGGACACATCCCCACAAAGTGGATTCTCTTTCCAGGAATTTACAAACTCCAGTTCATTGGATGCCACGTATCTGCTTCGGGTTTCAAAATCATCTCGTATATTCCCATTGTAGTTACCACATAAGCCACAAATGTGATCCTAGGTCAAAATAAAATCAAAGACCTTGTGGAAATCATATCAGTCCATAAAATGTGGGGCTTTAAAAAAAGCACTAAGGAGCCATGGGAAGAGAAGCAATTTAACCCTGACTTTGTCAGCCATTTGTTCTCCCCTGAATCGCTTACCTATATGGGAGGAAGATAATGGGGGTGGAGTGGGTCTCTCTTTTTCTTTTATGGAGAAAAGCATCTGGCTGTATAGTTTTGAGCAGAGAAAGACGCAGCAAGAAAAGTGTCCCTCCGCCCCACCAGACCACCATTGTTTGCTCAATCAGAAGCCAGCTACTGCTACTTAAAAATATAAAGCCTGGAAAAGTGATCATGGAACTGAAAGCAGTGATGGCTTTACCTCTGTTCTGCAGAGGTGAGCCAGTGATAAGTCTTGCTAGAAGAACTCTGCCTACAGTTTGATATTATTGCCCTTTAGCTCCCTGTTCTATATGATTGGGATGCCATCAAAAGAAACACTTATCAGGAATCTGTGCCAGTTTACCTCTGTGCCTCTGAATATCTTGATGAATAAGTTCATGTGCCTGTTCCAGATAAGGTTCATATCATATTTGCCAGGGATTGTGAGCTCAATAACCAAGTGGAGGGAGTTCTCTTCTATAAAGTATTCTCCCAGTGGATTCACACCAGAGATGGTATATGTTCTGTCTGCCAGAGTGATAGTCACATTCTGAAAGGAAAGTGACACACAAATAGAACAACTATATGACTGAACTGCCAAGAATAAACACCTTTTCAGTATACAATACAATAATAAACAATGCACAACGGAATGGTGAAAGAGCACAATGAAATTGCACTGCCAGGGGAAATGGGAGTAAAAAGCAAGTCAAGTCTGTAGGCAGGGCAAAGTAAAAGTGCTTCAGTGAGGTGCTGAATAGCCAATCCTTGTCCAGGATAGCTTGGCCTCCAGATGTACAGAGTGTCACCTCAGAAAAGGCTGCATCCTTTGTATGAACACATCAAGTCTTACTTGGTAGTGGGTACAGAGCAGGGCCTCTGCCAAAGACCAGTGTCTTCTCTAGAGAAAAGTGCATCTGGCACAGCGGCTTCAAAAATATTCTCGACCATAGTTGCCCCATGGCCATCCCGAATGATTGCTGGAGCCTTATGGTTAATGGGGAGGGTTAGAAATTAAATAAATGAGCACGACCCACATGGGAACTCCTTCCATCTTATCTGCATCCACTCAGCTTGTTTGCTCACATTTTGCTGCAGTACAGGTGAGGATATCTCACCTGAGTGTAGTAACACAGTAACTATGTATTATCCTTACCCCAAGGTAGATCTTGATTGCTCGGGAACATGTTACTCCAGTATTTCCACAGATGACATTCTCTGTCACTATTTTGAAAGTATGGGGAGAGCCTCCAATGCCACATCCATCCTAAGGACAGAAGCACAGTCAGAGGATCATTAGCTGGGTAATTAGGAGGGATCAGAGGAGCAAAATGTATGTGAAGATTTAAACCTAGGAAACCTCTTAGGTTTTCAGAAGCCTGGAACAAAAGAAATAGGGAGGAAATTTGGTCTAAGCACGATATTAATGAGGCCTTTGTACTGGCGACCCCTTGGTGTGAGGCTCAGTTAGAGGACCTACTTAACAGAAGATAGTCCTGTCTTTAATGGCATTGTCTAAGAGGCTTTCCAGTCTAGCCCTGTTTAAAGTCAATGAACCATCAGAAGGCAGAGCTGGAGCCTTGAAGTTGCCTATCAAGGGCTAAGACCAGGTCTGTAGACAGAGCAGACAGATAGATCAGCTGGGTATTGTCTTCCCTGCTATTGTGTATCTCTATTTATATGACAGCAATTATTTTTCAATCTGCACCTATATATTCATACTTAGCATATGCACACTTTGAGCAAATCTGTGTCCTTTTTTGGAAATGTTGACATGGCCATTATAGTGCCTATCACAGATTATCCTTATTCTCCTTTCCCCTAGTATAGATGTTTAAGTCAGATGAAAAATACAAGGAGAGCCATTAATGATGAATTCATTAGATGCTTAGTCAAATGTACACATAATATCCCTAAGATAAACTACCCTTTCATGATAGAGGTCAATCAAATTCCTCAAGTTCTCTCAGTGAAAAGTTTATTATACATTTTAAAATGCAACACCAGATCAAGTCAGTGCAAAAGATATTTTAATGCAGAAGTCCCTAAGCCATTGTGCCCTGTGGCAGTTCAAATATATGTATTATCCCATTAAGCATGCCATCTGCGAGGGAGAGGAGTATATTCTTAGATTACTTTAGCTGTTGAAGAGCTGTTACCCACTTCTTAATGTTTAAAAAAAATTGAAGGAATGGCACTTCAGCAAAGAAGATGAAATGCATCTTGTGCATTGAGAGCCATGCAAAGATACTTGAGTTAGGAGGATATTGCTTCCACGGGACATATTAGGAAGTATGTTATTTATTTATTTTACATGCAAGGACTATCCAGTTGCCTAGAAGGCTGTTTTTGAACTCCAGATGTGGTATTAAGGGAGGAAATTATTTAAAAAGTTCCCCTAGCCTTTTTAAAGCTGTTAATTGTGTGGATTTAGGTATGGTGTTTTATCCTAAGACATACAGGGCTTGACCTGAAGTGTTACATAAAGTCAGATGTGTTTTAACTACCAGTATGATTTTTTCATGCAAATCATTCACAGGTATGCAAGATAAAAATATTACCGTAGCTAGTACATATTCACAGTTCCCATCAAACACAAAGCGCTGTCCGTCAAAAGTAGTGATATGACCTTCTCCATATAGGCTGCATGTTGACGAGCATTTGGAATTTTGGATGCAGTTCCATTTTCCTCTTGTGCAGATACTAACAATGGACAAAAAAATGGGTCAGCAAACACGCCTAAAGCTAACACACTACAGTTGTGCACCCAACTTCCTTGATGCCTTCATATCATAGCAACTAAGTTTCCTGAGGTCACATACATAACAGAATGACACACTTACATAGTTTGGCCAAGGATACCAATGGATGGGAAGATAAAGTCTTACCAGGTCTTGCATTCAGTATGAATCTCCTGTCCTTTTGCATATGAGAAGCCACTATATTCACAAGGGCATTCCTCAGGAGGCACACATGTACCATCTAGTTTCTCATAGAGTCCAGGAGCACAAACACACCCTGATTCACACTTGCTGGGGACCTGGAAATTACAGACTTAGTCACTAAGAGATGCACGCAGAAAGTTGAATGTCCTCGGCATGGATACACCTTGCTGGCTTGAATTAAGGCACACTTCTGTATCTGCTACATCCAGCCCAGCCTCAAGCTACAAGAGGTAGAAAGGGATTGTTGGTCATCTCCCATGACTGTGATGGCAGGGTGGCACCTCCAAAACAAGCCACTCCAAAGCTCTCTCCAGGGATGAGCACCATTTTAGTGGAAAAACAGATGTAAATGAAATGACGAATAAATGAGTGACCAAATAAATGTGACCCGCCTGGAGGACAGACTTGCTTTGCTCAGTTGTGAACGCATCAGTGTCACATCCCTCAGAGCCAGGCAGGGCAGTTCTAATTCCATTCCAGAGCAGAGCAGGGACAGCCAGGTGTGGCCTGCCCTCCCCACCACCCCCACTGGCATTAAGGAAATGGGGAAATATTGCCCTGTTCTTTTCTAGTGATGACAATTAAATGGAATCTAGTTTTTGCAACTGTCTATTAGTCCTGTTGGTGCACTGTCAAGGTTTCCCGTAATGGTGGCCCATGGCTCACTCCACAGAGAATGAGAACACGTCCCGAGTGACAAATGCAGCACCACGATAGTTGCACAAACACTGAACTTACGCATTTAGTTCCTGTGGCCAGCATCTGACAGGTTGGTGCACAGGCAGCTCCGTATTTGCTTTCTGAGGTTTCTGAGCATGAAATATATCTTTTGGGAGGCTTGCAGCTTTCTAAGAGAAAGGAAATAAGCAATTGCAAAGTGATATTTCTGTGACAGAGGGAAAACAGGAACTCCTGAAGAGAAAATATGAGATCCATACCTGCTGGGTCTATGGGCTTGCCAGTACAACTCAGATTTCCATTAAAGCAATAGCTGGAACAGAATAAATGTATAAATAAATCAATCTCCATTAGACTATCCATAAGGAATTACATAGAATCAAATATTCTTACTCCAAGTCTGAGCCTGAATATTTTCTGAAAGTTCTGTACAGCTTTCACTTTTGGGTTGTCTGGTGCTCTACAGGATTAAGCAATCAGGAAATAGCATCAACTTATTTGGGTATGTTTTGTATTGCTGCTACCTCAACCAAAAACTTGGGAAGCAGGGTAGAAACAGAATAATAAATTCTGTGTCACATGTAGGCTAGTGATGCTATATAGAAGCAAGATTTTGGGAATGAACCGATGAAGTTAGATGGAGAGGACAAAGGCAGAAGTAGAATAAATGGGGAATAGGAAAGGATTAGTGAAAGGGGAGAGAGAAAAGATCTTTACTCTTTGATTGATCCAGATACCATCTTTCCTTGATATAAGCATTCTTTTCAAAATTATATTTATTTCTCACTGTTTTCCATGATAGAGCTCATACTCTATCATGATAGACTATGTTCTTAAGTCTCCCAAATGGTTGCCCATACAGTAACTGAAAAGACCTGCTTAGCTTCAGCAAGACCAGAGACCATAGCATGCAGCTTGCTTGTAATATTTGGGATGCAAAGCATTTACCCACAATATATAGCCCTTCCAACTGAAACAAGAATGGGAATATTAAATGTTGCAATCCTAAGCGCAGTTACTACAGAGTAAGCTCTGTTGAGAAGTAAGAGGACTGCTTTATAAGTAAATATGTTTGCTGCAAGTGGTTTTGATTTTTTTTAACATTCTCCCCTTCTGGAACTTAGCAATAACTTCACCAAATTAGTTTTGTGTTTTCAGTAGTATATTGACCTCTTTGCTTCTCAGTTCCATAGCACTGCACAGGACAGTAGGTTCCATTTAGGAAGGCAGCTAAGAAATATATTAAATGAATGAAACAAAACCATTTGTTCAGAAGATTTTAGTTCTCCCTTGCCCAATTTTATTCTGACTGCCTAAATTACACTTCCCTTGGAGGGCCTTTGGCATCCATTGCAGTCATAACATTTTCAAAAATAAATGATCCATGTTTACTTTTCCAACAAGATCTGGAAAGAACATGCATTCAAGGAAACCTTATGCTGACAAAATCCACACAGCATTGTAACTCACTGTAATAGATGCCTACCAGGTAATTCCACCAATGACAGTTGATTGATCTGCCAGAATGAGCTTCCTGTCATTCAAGTAGCAAGGACACTGGGATTTACGGACACACTCATTTTTGTGGTTCAGGTAGGTTCCTTCTGGACAATTGCAGCCATCGATTGGAATGTCAGTGGGGTGGCATTCTAATGCTCTCATGGAAAGGGACAGGCATGTCCGACCACAAGCTTGAGTATTATAGCCAAACGTCTGATTTCCAGTACAAGAGATGGCTGCCAATAGAAGGAGGATCATTAGTTTTTGCTGCAAGACCTTGGACCGTGAACCCTCTTTCCCCCTGCCACTTTATCACGCAGTTTAGTGAAAAGATATTAGGGTGATGTGATCACAGAATCATAGCATTGTAGAGTTGGAAGGGGCCATGAAGGCCTTCTGGTCCAACCCTCTGCTGTTGCAGGACACCAAGTCACACCATCCCACTCAGATGGCTGTCCAGTTTCCTTTGCAATGTCTCTAGTGTGGAAGAGCCCACCACCTCTCTAGGCAGCTGGTTCCACTGCTGTATTGGTCTGACAGTGAGGAAGCCTTTCCTGATTTCTAACCTGTATCTGGGATGTTGCAACTTGAATTGATTATTCCATGTCCAACACTCTGGTATCAGCAACAAGAGATCTTGACCTTCCTCTTTGTGACAGCCTTTGAGGCACTTACAGAGGGATATCATGTCCCCCTCAGTCTTCTCTTCTCAAGGCTGAACATGCCCAGTTCTCTCAGTATCTCCTCACGGGGCAGTTTTTCCAAACCCTGGATTATTTTTGTTGCCTTCCTTTCTAATTTTTCTGCACTTTCCTAAATCTTGATGCCCAGAAGTGGACACAGTATTCCAGATGAGATCTGATGAGTGATAGTAAAGCAAGCATGGTTCAGCCTGCAATTGCCTGCAGGACCAGGATCAAACCTGGAGGTACTGGCAAGGAATGAATCTTGTGAAATCATCCGGTGTGGCTCAGGGCTCTGGAAGGATCTATAAAAGACTTTCTTGAGGTTTTCAGCTATACTACAGCAACATGAGACTTTGTGTTGATCCTTCCATGTTCCTGAACCTACCTCCAATCTTGCCTTCAGATGTGCCTTGATTCCAGCCTGCTCCTGACTCTGCTGTTGCCTTCCAACTGAGCCCAACTTGCTAGGAACCTGATCCTTGCCTTCATCTCTGGCCCTGCAATGCTTTGCTAGACATCTGACCCTCACTCATTCCTGAATCTATCCTTGCTTCTGGTTCTGCTCTGCCTTGATACTATCTGAACCTTGCTTGTCCCTGATTTTGCCTTTGCCTCTGGCTCTGTTGCATCACAGCAAGATCTCCACCCACCTCCATCACCTTTAGTCCTGGTGCTCCAGCCATAGATACCTGCTGCCTACATCCTGTGCCTGACAAAAGAGCTATGGGAAGCATATGCAGGTTACAAACTTTTACTGTTCTTCTACCCAGTGGACTATGGAATATGCAGTGGCTAGGAGGTCTTCAGGAAGTCTTCAGTGAAATTAGTCTGCTTCTTCCAGCCACTCACTTCTGCAAATAGCCAGTGTTTTGAGCACGATGACATGGGAGCAGGAAACTCATATGAGTTCAACCCTTCCTTTGTTGTGAAGCAGAAAACTGCAGATTTTACCATTCACTGGACCAGACCACTCAAGCTTTTAGCATCCAGGAAATTGAATTGCATGTCCATGGGTATTCATGAGACCTATATCTATGATATCTGTACAGCCACATATAAGGTCTTTATACTAAAGGACTTCTGAATAAAGTTCCTTGTGTTCAGCAAGTACGTATCTTGCACAGAAGAATATGCCTATTTGCACTGACTTTTGGTAATCCAAAAGTAACCTTTAAACAAGGTTTTACCATTTCTAATGTGGCAGTTTTGAAGATGGAATTGTAATCACCATCCGTTTTCCCTTTGCAGTGGGGTGTCTAACTTGAGCTGCTCTAATAGAAAGAAGTATCAGTGTCTACACATTTTTAAGCAAGGATCCTGAAGGTATGATATTTTCATATATGAAAGAATCAACTGGAAATTACTCACTGCAGTTGTCAACTGTACTCCGCCAGTCTCCAAGAAACAGCCCCATTGAAGCACACATGCGGGCATAGGATCCAAGGGCAGAACAAATGTAAGGAAAGGTTTCTTCATAGTTACAGGCTTGGTATACACATCTCTGAAAAGAAATACGTACGATGCGTTCTGTTAATAAAAGATCAGAAATGTTGACTGCTGGGGCATAGGAGCTCATTCATGCATGCATGCATATTGCTGGATCCCATCAAAGACCATTGCATTTGGACCAATATAAAAATTCTATCTTTGGTGTTCAATTTTTGATGGCTCATTCATGCGCACACACAGATAGCCATTTGATGACATGGTTATCAGTCATGACCATGCATGACCATGTCTTGTTTATGCAGTTGCACATCGTATTTAAACAAAGCTGTTGAGAAGGTATTGTATAAATCAGGGGTTCTGGATCATTCTATCAGACAATGCCTAACAGAGGAACAAGGGAATATTAGTATTCCAAACAAGGTACCATGCTTCCCGAAGTTCTGGTGGCATCCAAGACTTTCTGAAATGTTAACTCCAAAATATACCTTTCCTTCTAATATAGGGAACACATTTTGGCATTTAGATTTCATGTTTTAAGTTATTTTTCATGATCACAACAGGTACTTGATCATATTAAAATATTAAAAACTTTAAATCCATTATGTTCTGGCCAGTTTGTGAGATACAATTTTCCAAAACAGCCAGTATTTTACCGTTCCAAATTTATTCAGGAAGAAAAGTTCAAGTGTTGGTTATAAATGCAGTATAAACAGAAATATGCATGCACACTGATGAAATAGGCATTGTGCTGCAATTGTGATATAATCCCAGGGTTTTTTTTTTTTTGTGGGGGAGGGGTATTTATCAAAATCTTGAAACAAACTTGCATTGTTTCAATTGTACTCTAGTAGAATCTAGTGATTATATGTTCTAAACATATACAGTAATAGATACCATTAAAATATGAATCACATCAGGTCTAATTGAGCCTGGGGTAGATCATTTGTGGGAAGGGAGAAACAACCTATAGTATTCTTGAAATGATTTTGCCAAACTTTGCAATTATTTGATTCTGAGTACAAAGTGTACTTGTTTGTAGTGCTTGAACGGATTATTAGTTCCCTGAGAAATTCTTCTGCAATTCAAAATGTAACATAAAATTCAGCCTATTCACATAATGTACTTCTAGTTTAAGATTCCAGTCCTAAATCATCAGTTGAGGATTATAGTCTGGGTGAGGTAATCAGATGAAACATCTAAAATTATTAAACACGATCCATTTTTGTTTATAGGAGTTGTTATGAAAAGCCTTGAGCCCAACTAATCCCTGGCTCAGTAGGTGGAAAAATGTGGGTACCAATGAGACTACTTTGAATGGTACAGAAGCCAGGGTCAAGTTGAAGAAAATCCTTGGGAACGGGAATAATGCAAAAAGGAGATGTCTCCATCTCCTGCTATCATGGATTGAGCTTTGTGATCTGGCTAGCTAGCCAGCATGGGAAAAGCTTCTTCTCTCGTCTCTTTGCTTAATATTTGGAAATAAGAACATGTTTCAAGGCCTGAAGAAAAGTTTGCTATCATAGTACAAAGGCAAGGAGATAGGTCTCTGCAGGATTTAGCACATTGTCCTTCTGTTGCCAGGAATGCACTTCCTGCAACTTCTGAGATCATTGGGACTCTGCAAGGCACCTTTCTACAGAAGGGTGCCAAATTTTCGATGGCTTCATCTTCTTTCCCTAACACACTCTGCCTCCTCATATCATTTGAACTCCTAAGTCAAATGGCTTTGGAAAATTTCCTGTCCAATGCTAAGCTGTCATTACTTAAAAGAAAAGGTGAAATCTTCATATTTCAAATATTGATTGCTAGAAGGCCATTCCAGGCTCCCTTGGGCATGGACTGTCTAGCTGCTTGTCCTGAATGCTTTGCAGGAAGTCCTTACCTTGTAAAAAGGAACCGGGTTCACCACTGGATGACATTTCTCAAATATAGTATCCTTCTTCGTAAGAATAGAGCAGTGGGTCTCTGCACACATTTCTAGAGAACAAGATACAGTCAAAGGTATTAGCTAATTTCATGTATTCCTTAGCCTATCTTAAAATGGATAAGCTGAATTAAAAGAACTGTAGAGATAATAAAAGCATAATGACATTTGTAACCAGGTTTCTACTGCTTAGTTTATTTTCCTGAGCATGCATGACTAAGATTATAATTTTGTTACAGGATATCCAAGAAGTTGAGACAATTTCAATTTACTTTACATTCTAATGTAAAACATCCTTTTTCAGGCAATACTTATATTTATACATAGTGTGTATTTCAAAAGCTGCAGCCTCTTTTATAGCTGTCTAAGCTGAAAGCTTATTTTCTAGACAGGCACCTCCAGAACTACAGTCCACAAATACTCTTTAAATGAAATGGCATTTATTCTCTTTTGCCTTTTTGTGTTTGTCAATAAGAGGCTTGACACAATATTCATTAGATCAAAGGTTTGGAAACATCAATTAGCGTTGATGTCCTTGTTAAAACGTTTCAGTGAGATGCACGTAAAAAAGATTTCTTAAACTTTGTAAGAGTTAGTAAAGACAATTGCTGTTATGATGGATCTATACAGAATATTTTTTTAATGTGGCCACTACAGGATCACAGGGAGATTGTAGAGGCTATCAAAAGGAATGCAGCAAATTTATTAGAGTAATTTATATGTTTACAGAGGAATCTTGGCTGTGACATTTGCAGATGCAAATTCTGTTCTGATGCAGAACTGATTACAGGGAGATAGATCAAGAGTCTGAACTTCCCAGTTCTTTGGACATAATGGAAAAAAGAGAATACAGACAATGAAAGCTGATGGACAGGGGCCTGTGTGTTTTAGCATGCGATCCTGCACTTATTCTTCTGGGAGCAAGCCCTCTTGAATTCAGTGGGACATACTTCTACATAGACATACGTAGCATCACACTGTTTGTGTGAAGTGCCCAGTATATTTCTTACAAATAAGAAATTAATAGTGGTGATTCTGAAGAGTACAATGCTGTGAAACTATTTTGTCCTGCAGATGGAGCAATCTCATAGTTAAAAATACATATTGTTTCATAGGATCTATGAGCACTTAGTTGCAAAAGTCACTGTGAATAGTCCAGCAGATGAGGTTGGACTTCCAGTCTCTCAGCACTGACTTGTGTGAAGGGGAAGATTAATGGCCAAACTGGATGTTTACAGCATCTACACCACATGAAGCTTATAGCTGTTGCAGGGGCTAGGGAGGGAGAGCGCAGGGGGAGGCCATGGGAGGGCATGGCCAAGCAATTCCTCAAAATCACCACTTCTCTGATCTTCTGAGTAGGCCTGTGGAGATGCTAATCAGCAGACCCAAAACAGCAGAAGATGCTGATCTCCTATTCATAATAACTCCTTCTGTTCCACACAGCTTGACGCAGTCTTTTGCAGCTCAGCTGCTGTTCAGGATGCTTTCCTGCCTTTGCATTTATATATTTCTCATGGTCATCACCTCAGAAGAAAAGAGAGCAAAGGCCATCTATTTTGCTTACTGTTCAATTGACTCATAGAACAAGGATCTGTATCTCTTTCGATGGCAGGGCTACATTTCCCTGATCTCCAAGAATCCACAAAGAGTGATGCCGTTCCTTCAATAATATCCATGCTGGTCATGAAGTCATCAGTGGTTTCTCCATTGTAGTTGCCACACAGCCCTGGGGACATGGAACAACGTTAGAAGAATGAAGGGCAAGGGACATTTTCCTACAGTAACAGTGAAACAGTGTCTAGTCCATTTGGTGGTAGTGCACTAAACCTGCACCATACACGATTGCTACAGGTAGCAATGCGCTCCCAGGGTCTGATCCATAATAGTTTTATGGCCCCTGAAACACACACTTTTTGGGCTTCCCAAAATGATTTTTGCATTGAACTGAAATCTTTGAAAGATTTGCAGTGCGTCTCCAATCTTTATTTGTGCAGGGAGCCTCCATAGCAGAGTCGCTCAAAGCCCTTGCATTGCATCAAAGGCCTCTGGTCCACTCTAGAGGTGGCTGCTCCAATCTGAAAATTTCTCCAAGACAGACAAAGTTTCATCTCAGACTATTTCCAAGTCACATTTGGAACAGATCAATCCAGAATCTAGTTCATGTGGAATCTGGTAGCATCTCTAACTAGATAGCTACGAATAACTTCTGCCTTCAGCCAAGCATTCCTGAGAAGAGAATTCCTGAGTTAGTTGTCTACAGCAAGTGGTCTGAGACATTGCATAGTGCAGTATAGGTGGTGATCACATCTGACCAATTGTTTCAGGGTCCAGATGTGCAGCTGCATCTATTCTGTGTGGCAATTTCTTATTCAGGAACTCCTGTGTAGAAATCTGCTTCCACACATGGATTAGAACTAATTCACACTAATGGATTTATTTGGAAGAGTAGACTGGTAGTCCTTGGGTAACACAAGAGTTTTGTTCCTGAGAACATCCTTAAGTCAAATTTAAGTCAGCTCACACATATAAAAAGCATATAAAACACTTTAGAAGTACATCTTAAACATAATACAGCATTTTAATAATGATAAATAAAACAGTAATAATAAAATAAGTGCAGGTACTGAAGAGGGAGAGGGGGAGAGAGAGAGAATCTGTATGTATGTGTATAAATACATAATACAGTTCCTAAAACAGATAGAAGGAAAAATAGTGCAAAGATTATAAAAAGGTTAACTCATATTGAGCTAACATTAAGCGTAGCATTAACTGGCGGATGATGGAGGTGGGACTGGTATCGGAGAAGATGGACCTGGTGCTGGAGAGCCAGGATTTCATTGTGCTGATGGAGGGGATGGGGGGTTACCACTGGAGTTGCTTTCTAGTTCTGACTCCACAGATCGCTAGTGCTGCTTTTTCCCTCCTCCTTCCTTCCTTCCTTCCCTCCCTCCTCCTCCTCCTTGCTGCCTGACCTGAATTCTGACTTCACAGCTCAGCTGGTGGTGAGTGGCAGTCAGCAAGCAGGTGCCCACTAGGCACCATAGGACAAGTCAGGCTCCTTTTTTAAAGTATGGGTTGCTCATAACCCAGATGTTCATAACCTGGGGACTGTGTGTACTGCACTAACAGTTGATGACATTTGTCCAAGTCCAATGGGAAATCTATGGAAAGGCTAAACAAATAGAGCTCAGCTCTGGTTGGAATAGCAGAAAGAAACAAGGCCAGGGTTTGGGGTATGAATTCTTTCATAAAAGACTCTTAGCTTTTAGTCAGTAAAGCCAAAGATCAACAAAAACTAATTGTTTACCTTGAGTTTTGCCTTCAAAGTGAAGTCCAACTTTAATATGAGCTTCAAACACTGGGGACAATTGAATTACTACCTCCAGCCCAAAGGTGGTATACATTTGAATATAAGTAGATGACTGTCTGAAGATGATGATGTCCCCTAAAAGAAATTAGATAATTACAAATATTGACTATAGCTTATCTATTTGAATCATTAAATATATTTGCATGCACACACATATTCTGTATGTAGGATATTTTTCACTTTAAAGATTGCACGATCAAACTTTTGCTACTATAATAGGATAGATAGGTGATTGTTTATTTCCATCTATCCCACTTACCCAACAAACATAAATAGTTGGAAAGCAACATATTTTAACACAGGTGATATAAAATATATAGAACATATGCAATGTTGTCAAATGTGTCCATTTAGTGAGTGCATGGACTATATATACCCTTCTTATCTTACCTGTTTTATGAGGTAACCATTTAAATTCATTCTCATCAGTTAAAGCTTCATCTTTTGAAATCACAATTTTGTCCTGTGTGGAAAAGAGAATCCTGAATGCAGAGCTGGATTAGATGCCAACCTGGACTACAGGACACCCTTCCCATGAATCGAGAGGGATATAGAACAGGGATGGACAACTTTATTTAATTTTTATTTCATTTAAGGCGTTTATATCCTGCCCTTCACAATGCCTCAGGGTGGTTGCCCCTTAGGTATTTGGGCATTCAGTTCCCAACAGCACCAGCCAGTGTAGCTAATGGTCAGATACAGGGCTGTGTGAGGTGAGGAATCCGTCCAGGGGTGGGAATCCATTGGATTCCCTTGGGCTCGGCTCTCTGGACGCCAGTTTACTTTGTGGAAGCCTAGAGTCTGAGTTCCTGATGCGTGTGCCCAACAGTTGCAGGGCACTCACAAGGAATCAAGCTCCAAGCATGGTGCAAGCAATACCTCTTCTGCACGTGAGGAACAGCCGCTCAACTGGCGGCTGCTGCTGTTGCTGAAGAAGGCAGGTTGTGGGTTACGGGGTTGTGAGGGGGTCTCTGGGAAAGCAGCTCCCCTGACTGCCGCACAAGCAGCTTCCCTCCTTTTGGGAGGCTGCCAATGCAAGGGAAGATCGCCAGTTGCACTTTGGAAAATCAGGCTGAGCACAAAAGGAAGCCCACAAACTCTTGGAGGGATGGATTCCAGCAAGGTTCATCTGAGCCCTCTTCAGGAATTATGGGAGTTGCAAGGAAAAATATCTGGTGAGGCACAAGAATGTATGTGACTATTAGGCATACTGTAAAAATGTAGCAAGCCATTATTAGAGGAAATGATTACGAGAACAACAAGCATTCACAGTCATGATTGTGCAGCCATGACCAACATGCAAACCCACATTCCATATATAAGCTTGTGATGAGGACTATTTGGCTTCTCCTGATGTTGTTGGATTGCAGCTCCTATCATCCTTCACCATTGCCCATTTTGGTAAGGCCGATGGGATTTGCAGTCCAACAAAATTCAAACAGCCACAAGTTGCTCACCTCTGTTGTACAAACTAGAACGCCATTGTCCAAGTCATTAAAGTGTTGACTTTTGGGAGGACCCTTTTTCTTGTGCCGATTGCATGCAGATACTTCTCTCACCTTTTACTCTGGTCCATTCTCATGTAATCATACCTGAAGATGTTGCCCACAATCAAATGCACAGGCTTAAATCCAAATGAAATCAATAGGCCTTTACATGCCTCTAACTGTGCTAGGCAAAGCCTGCTTTGCTGGATTATTTTTCCGGTATACATCAGCTATGTTTCTATGGGGTGAGTGCTTACTTTTCCTGATATATAAACTATAGCTGACAGTGATGTCTCTGAACTGGAATAGCCAGACTTTTCATACACCGCCATCAGGGTTCCATTGTGTGGTAACATGGGACTCTAGAAGAAAAGCAAAAGCAAAACAAACCTGGGAAAGAGACAAAAATAAACCTTTCCCCCACATTCCCCCTTTCCATCACTATAGAATATGAGCCAAGTCTTTGGCTTTCCTATTTTTTTTTAAAGGATAGGATTCTGCAAATATAAAACTAGATTCTGATGGAGAAAACATCTATACATCATTAAGAATTAGCACACAGGAAGCAGCATTAAAGGACAAAAAGCATAGGGAAGGAGAGTATAGTGGACTGGGTGTAAAATGTCCACCTCCCATTTGATGCTTCACCCTCAATACCTCTTGTTTCTAAGCTGTTAACTTGCATACAGTGTAGAACAGAGGACTGTAGAATTAGATTTTATGGCTAGTAGTGTTATCTTGCCTTTTATTAGTGTAAGATAAATGTTGGCCTACTGGACATAGTTAGTTTCACAGAAACAGAAAACAAGTGAGTCAGAAGGGGTCTCCCAGGTCATCTAGTCTGATTCCCAGCTCCAGCTGGCTCTCCTCATGTAATCCTGAACATGTGGTTGTTCAATCTTTCCTTGAACACCCTCACTGATGGGGCCTGAACCACTTCCCTTGGAAGCCCATTCCATATCCTAAAGGTCCTAACAGTCAGGAAGTACTTCCTGACATCCAACCTGAAGCCCAGTTCCTTGAGCTTTGCCCCACTGGAATGAGTCCTGCCCTCTACTGCAGGGAAGAATAGGTCACGACCCTCCTTGACATGGCATCCCCTCACATACCTATACGTTGCTAAAAGATGCTCTCAGAGTCTCCTCTTCTCCAGGCTGAGAAGACCCACTTCCCTCAATCTCTCTTCATATGTCATCCCTCCCATCCTGGCTACCATTCTCGTGACCCTGCACTGCACCGATTCTAACCTAGCTATCTCTCTCCTATAATGGGAAGTCCAGAACTGGACACAGTACTCCATTTGTGAGTGCCCCAGAGTCTTGTAGAGCAGTATCAAAACCTCCCTAGATCTGGAAGCCACGCTTCCAGCTATACATCCAAGGGTGGCATTTGCCTTCTGTCACACCACCAGCACATGTTCAGCCTGCTGTCGACAAGTACCCCGAGATCCCTTTCACAAGTGCTGCTTTCCAGCCACTTGCCCCACATCCTGTGCCTGTGACACCTATTCATATGTCCCAAGTGCAAGAACTCTGCACTTAATCCACATTGAATGCCATCCTGTTGTTCCCCACCCACTTCCACAGCCTGTCTAGATCCTTCTAGATCTGGATCACCTGCTCCTTAGTTGTAGTCACCACCCCCACTTTGGTATCATCTGTGACAAGGAAAACCAAAAACCTTGTATAAACTTGATAATAGTTGCCTTTATTATGTAGAATACCTTCATAAGAATATAGGTGCAAACTCCATGGAAACGGTATCGCCTAGAATCAAAGGTGGTGACAAATGAACCTCCTTCCAAGGAACATCTGCCAGGGCAGGGTAGTTCTGTGCAGCTCCACTGGCCCATTGTACATGTACTGGTGAAAAGAAATGTCAGCTGTTAACTGGAACAGTAGATGACTTTGTATGTTGATTGTTATAATGCAATGTGTCCTCTTCTCTCTGATTTTGTGCAACATGATTTTGAAGTTAAGCATGAAAAATCAAAGACTTCTAAAGGCAATGAAAACAAATATATGCTTATTTGTGTGCATGTCTGTTTATTGTTGTGGGTGCTTCATCACATCACCATCCTATAATATTTAAAAGCTAAGTCTATTCCTGAATGGTCAGACAAATTGTCAATGGGATTATCTCAGCATTCTTGAGTTATCAGGATACAGCTTGTATAACTTGTTGCTGCCTCTTCAAAGTTCATGCGCACATGAACTTCACAAAGTTTATTTTCTTTGTGAGCCCTCCAATTTTTTGGAGGGCCTACCAACTGGAACATCTGTTTCCACAACTGGAGTGGAATCCCATAAATCCATGTGATGTTCAAATGTGAAGTATCAAAACACAGCTACTACTCAATAACTAGTCAGTGTCCATGAATGGAAGGTCTGTTTCCATTCACAGATAAGACTGCAATCCACTGGAGAAACCCAATGATGTAAGGGTGGAAAGCAACATTTACTGGTTACCTTGCCCTGATGTAGGCCCCCTCCACTGTCAGAAAGGATCCCCCCAACCCTTCAGAACAGTTTTTCGGGGGATACAAGAGGCTATGGGGGAAAGGGGAAATGGTAAATAACACCCCCTTCACTTCAACTGGGTGGAAAGGTCTGTGAATGGAATTCTGCTCAGGGGATACTCTTGCCAGTACAAACTAACTCAGGATCTGCCCTTTGCTCAGGGAAATGTATGTTTTTACTTGTATGTAAGTGGAGTTCCTGTCAATTGGCTACCATCAGAGAATTGATTAAGGATGCATACATATCGGTTGAGGAATGATTATGCTTACAATCTCACACAGCACCTAAAAGTTAATAACTCTCCACTGCTAAAGGGAAATCAGCATATATATGATAAGGCTCTGTTATAGTGATTTTAGCATAGATTGCTTTCAGGTTGCTTAATCACCTTGATGACTTATCCCTCCCTAATTTGAATATTCCTTTGCTCACCAGGTTCTGCATGCTGCTTTTATGGTATCACCAGGAGCATATTTTTCTCCATTCAGCATGCAGGGACACTCTTTCACAGGAACACATGTTTGGTTTCTTGAAATGTCATCCAAGACAGTTCCTGTCATGTTAAGGAAACAAAAAGAAGCAAATAAAAAGTGAGTGTTTTAATATGACCTGAATGTGCAATGCATGAAGCTTCAAAACTTTTATAAGTTATTGTTTTGTGGGGTAAGTTTACTTGGGTGTCCTTGATGTCATGAACAAAACCCTTTTTTGTGCTCTAATTTTAATATTAATAAAAAGATGTCATTATTAACATGCAAAATCATGCATAACACTATCCCAACAGGTACCAGAATCCATAACGGATCAACTAATTGTACAGTTCACAGTACTCATGCTTACTTGACATTGTTCACCATCAGTTACATATTCCTAAAGCTTTTGTCCTAAGATCCTGTTTGTATAATTTATTTATTTATTATATTTATATCCCACTCTTTTTCTTACAAAGAACTCAAAAAGGACTGCATCGTCCTTCTCCTGCTCTCAGTCTTATCCCCCCCAAAAACCCCACCCTGTCAGGTAGGCTGGGCTGAGAGTCTGTGACCGGCCCAAAGTCACCCAGTTGGCTCCATGGCTGAGCCACCGCAGCACCCTGGCTCTCTGTTTTTAGCTTTAGGATCACAAATAGTGATGAATGCTGATGCAAGTGGAAAGTTGTCCTGGCCTTAACGAGTGGAGTAGGAGCATGCACCTCTGTCCCACTAGTCAATGGGAGAAAAACCATATGCCATTGCAAGGGGTGTAAGGGCCTTTATGCAGGTGCTTGGGATTCTGGAACCTGTTGGTTGCTGGCTGCTGCTACGGCAATACTGAGTCTAGGTCTATGTCCAAGTTATTTTAATCAAACTGTGATGCTTTCACTCACCTTACAAGTGAGTGCTCTTGTGTATTAACTCATAGGGCTGGTCCATAAATGTCTTAAAATCCACTAAAATCCCCCTCACATCTGGCTGTAATTGAATCTGCTAGCATGTCACATTAGAAACCACCATTTTACACAGCAGAAATGGTTGGATTTTAGTGACTTTTAAGAGCTTAGTCAGTTCTATGAGCTGCTACACAAGAGTAGGAGCTCTTAAAATTAATGCATTGTTACAATGTGCATTATAGGGATATTCAAAGAGATAGTATAAAATCATTAATTACTTATCACACTTGGAAATAGGTAAGGGAGATACTCCTGTGGATGATGCACAAACTGTTGCAATTTCAAACACATCCATTCCCAGCATTTTGGGGGAAAAGTCTCCACTCCGAGGATATGTACCACAAACAATTGGCAGGATAGGTATATTCACAGTACGGCAATGGTATATTTTTAATGTCCGCTTACCTTCTGGACAGAAACAGCCATAGGTACAGTAGCTGAAGCAGCTGTATTCCGGATTGGAACATGTTCTGAGACAGGGAGAACCACACTCTTTGTAGATCTGGTTAGCTGGACATTTTCCCAATGCTGCAAATCATGATGATTCAGAGAGCTTAGTCACTTTTTATATTTGGGCAAAATACAACACTGGAATTATGATACAATCTTGAAATGAGTCTATCAGTATCAGTTTTATCCATCAGATAGTAATAATTCAAAAGCTCCATGTTTGTTATCTCTAGGACCTCCAGGTTCACAATCTCTTGGAAATTCCTTAGGATTTGATACCTCCTGGTAGAATATGAGAAGCACTCTTTTGGCATCCACAACATTGTCCTACTTCTGAGCAAGTATTTTGTGGAGTGTGTGCCTAGCTGTGTTCTGTTCACGCAGTGGGCAGGCCAAGTGGGCAGAGTTTATTTATTTATTTAAAACTTTTTTAGACCGTCCCTTACTGTGTTCTCAGGATGGTTTAACAATAAGACGATATAAAATAAAATAAAACACAGCATCCTAACAGAGTTGCCCTGTCTCCTTTCCCTGCTCCGTATGGTCCCCACATACTCCTTTCTCCTGACATTTTGAAGCACGCTTCCTGTCAGGTGAACAGTTTATGAGCAGCAGTTTCTCTCATAAATTGCTGAGCAGAGGAATCCTCCAACCCAGCTGCTACAGAGCAGCTAGACATCCTGCCAAAGCAAAGATATGAAGCAGAACAAGGTGTTCACAGGCCCTGATGGAGGAGAGTTGTATCCAGCTTGCTCAAGGCCTGGGGAACTATCATATGTTCCAATTAAAAATGCAGTGCTAAGGAAAAGCTGACTACACTGAGGTTCTTGTGATATAAATTTTACTTCCATCGCAGTCTATAACAAGCCTCAGTGGGAAGGGCTGCATGATAGGTTAAACCTCTTTGGAATTCAACCTTGCACTGTGATTTTAACCCAGCAACTGTGAGAATTGTACAGATCTGGAAATAAGAAAATATCAATTACTCACAATGGGGTGGAGCTGTAGGTGAGGGAAAGGAAGCAACTCACTGAAGAAACTGCATGTAAAGATATGCGAAGTGGACAAAGAGCAGCAGAACATGAAGGCAGGAGGAAGACCCAGAAAGCCCTGCGAGATTTGAGAGCAGAGGTTCACATGGGGCAGGGTGATGCATGCTACTGACAGCAGCGCATGGCATTAGTGGTAAAATGTGAGGTGCCAGAGAAGACAGGGGTATTAGCTACAAAAGTACAGTACATTGCAGAAATGCACCAAGAGCAGCAATGGAGAAAGCTACTCTTGCAAAAACAGCTTATTCCAGCAGTTAGCCACCAATGGAATTTAAGAAAGGAATTTAGGAAAACATTACAGTTTGATTCTGAAGGAAACCTTTGCAGGGGATCTTTTGCCATCTTAGGCTTGGTTTCTTAATTTCTGTGCTGAGAAAGGAAGGAGAGTTGTGCCCTTCTGTGAACCGAACTCTCCCCCCATTCACGGAAAGGCCTTCAGTTCAAGTTAGGATTGAGGCCTTGGATTAAAGCCTCCTTCTTTATTTAGAAGTAAAAATCCAATCAGTTTAATTTAGCCCACTTGTGACTTCCTTGTGGTCAACCTGGCCTCTCAGCAGACAATGACTCTGTAGATTGTGTAATTACACAGCAGTGTTTCATTGAATGGCTTAAAAGGGAAGCAGCTTCCGTATTAGAGCACTATAATCCATTGCCACAGTGTGTGCCAGGTGACCCTGGGATATTTTCTGTAAAAATAACTCTTGCCATAGATTGGCTGCCTGCTGGCAAAATCTCTTCCTCTCCTTATCTGTATCTCTGCCTATACACTGATGTTTCAGCAAGATACCCTGCTGGTGGCCTCTATAAAGTTGTCCCATGTCTAGCTGAAAAAGCGAAACTGCCCAGTTGTTCTTTCCATGTGCTCCTCTCAGTGGGAAAGAAACTGGACTCACATGGTCCTGTTTCTGCCCCTTTTTGACCTGCCTAGGATGATATGACAACCCACCCTGAGCAGTCAGCCATGCTGAGCTGCTGTGTTGTCCAAGCTGGCATGTTTTAGCGGGGGGGGGGGGGGATTCCTTGAATAAGTAACATGGAGAGCCCATGGCTTTTTTGGGGGTACTTCGTACCAGCCTGTGCATTACTACACAGTGAGCTCAAGGGGGCCTGCAGTTCTGGCAAATGTAGCTTTGTCCTTGTTATGCCTCACTTCCACACACCTGCATCACAGTTTCTGAAAGCTTCCTGGAGAAGAAGTCTCTTTTTTAAAACTGAAGTAACCTGGGGAGTACTTTGACCATCTTATACAATGCGATCCATTAAAATGAATTAGTGTGCACATTCTAATTTCATTTGTGCAGCAGATTTGTATGGAGATAGACACCCCCTCATAAACAGACCTTGGATCCATTTCCCCCACCCCAATCGTGGGAAGCTGCAGTCTTTCATTTGTTCCCCATGCTAGGTACACACAACTTACAACTTGTGCTGAAGTCATGTTATGCACCACACAATTCTGTGACGAGCTGGTGACTGTCCTGCTTGAACACAATGCTCCAGTCTCAGAGTATTAAGTGTCATCCCATTAAAACTCACCACTGTGATTCAATCCTGTGATTCCTTCTCCCTGACTCTTTCCTACAATTCTGCCTCCATCCCCTCTTCCTCCTTCTGTAGCTAAAGCTTTGCAGTACATGCCTCCTCGCCTATTTATGTATTCATTAGATTTTTATCCTGTTAGTGTTGCTATCTTTCTTGCAAGGAACGCAGAGCGGCTTGCATCATTCTCCTCCTGCTGCTCTCAATCTTATCCCCAGAACAATAGCCCTGCAAGGCAGGCTGGGCTCAGAGTCTGTGAATAGTCCAGAGCCAACCCATGGACTCCATGGCTGAGCATGGCCCAAAGTCACCCAGACTGCCTGCGCCCTGATCCTGCGCTCTTAACCACTGCACCACACTGGCTTTCCCAGCACTCCTCGTATGTATGCTGCTAAGGACTGGGAACTGAATTATGGGAGCGAAAGCTGCTATTGCTGCTGCATTCAGGCTTGCTCTAAAAGTTCTTATTGCTCCCTGTGATGACAGCACAAGCTCCTCCAGTGCTGTCACACTGGATACCTGGAGCAGATGCCATGGTGGCCATCCACGACTTCACTCTTCACATATAATTGCACCCCCTTCACAGGATATCCCATTTGGACATTACCCACCCCATCAGTAACACTGTCTGCATATGAGCAAAGCCAGTAGCCAGTAAAGCTCAGGCCTGACCAAGCCAATTTTGCCTAGCAGCTGGGTCCGTTTGCTCAGTACCCAGGCTCGTCTGCACAACGTGCTGCTCATTATGGTTGCACAATGTAGACTTGTCTAGAGTTGGACAGCCAAATCTGTTTATAAGAAACAAACTAGGGATGTACAAACTAGGGAGCCACTTCATGGTGAAGATGGTGGATGATGTGTGTGTGGAAAGTAGGTGGGTAGCGCAGTGGGGGTGGCCTAGCAGGTGGGGAGGAAGGCTTCGGCGGGGACACTTGTAGTGCTCTTGGAGACCCACTGAAGGGATGGGAATTGGCAGCATGGCTGAAAGGTGATTCTCTGGCGAAAGGAAGCTCTGGCAAGAAGGGGCAGGTGAAGGGGGGCCTCCAACACAAGTCTCTCCTCAGGCTGTTGGAAATGGGTGAGGGGGTGAGGGGAAGGTCTACTTGGCAGAGGCGAGATCAAAGATGGGAAGGTAAGTGAAAGCAGCTTCTTTGTCTGGTGTTGCATGTGTGAGGCTGGGGGAAATCAGAACTCAGACCACTTCTCAGTTAGTTGGAGTGCAGGGTGGGAAGGCGGGGGAAAGAGCAGAGCACAAGAGTGGCTTCTGCGGCTGCCAGAGAGAGAAGCAATGTGCGAGGGGAGGGGTGGGAGGGTGCTGAGCGAAACCTGCTTCTTGGGCGGCACAGAGAGCATCGCACATCCATCGAGGAATAAAAACCAAGAGAAGGAATGTTAGGGTTTGCTATTGCTATTGAAAAAACAAGCAGAGGCAGATATTGATCTGAAGGGGAGGGATCGTGAAACGTTCCAGCAAGATCTGGCGATGTTTCCTGGGACATGGTAGTCAGGGGGAACAGGCAGCAGCAGGTGAGCAGCAAGCAAGCAAGAGCTGAAGATCCATTGACAGGGGAACACACTTGCTCCCATCCTCACTGCCGTCCCCTTTCTTAAGGCACATCAATGAAGTGTTATATACCAGTGAGCAGAGTTCATTTCAGACCCTGAAGCTGAGGGTTACGGCTGTCTCTGTGCGGTTTGTGCACACCATGTACAAATAGGATCTGGAGTGTTGCAACTTACAGCAGAATTCACTGCTCCTCCAGTCAGACACTTCCTGAAGGGACATGGCACACTGTCTGGAATATTCGGAGAGGGTAGCACAAGTGCAGTTGCTTTGGCCTGGCTCTCTGCAGGTTTGCATGTCAAGTTGGCAACGGAGGATAAACCCTTTCCTTGAGATGTTGCAAGATGGAGACACGATGTTTAGGAGTTGGGAGCAGACCTTGGCCTGGAGGAGAGAAACAACAAGATTGGCAACTTCTGTTCATGTGGTGTGTTTTGAGACAGGATGCCTCATACCACAGACTGAATTGCACTCACAACTTTTCATTGACACAGAAATCCCTTGCAGCCTTTTTTTGTTTATTTAACCTCTATACTTCCCAACAGCTGAAGCTCTGAGTGCTTTAAAACAGTCCATTAAAACACAATCGAAAATGTACCACAATATAAAACATTAGGAAAAATTACCATACAAAAAAATTAAAACCACATTTTAAATGACATTTAAATATAAAGTTCTAATAAGGTATGCAAGATAAAACCTGATTGAACTTGGATTAAAAGCCTAATAAAGCCCCAATGAATTAAGTGTCCTGAGGTAGAGGAAAGACTTGGCCTGGCATTGAAAAGATGGCAAGGTTGGTGCCAGGGAGGCCTCAGTGGGGAGCTCATTCCGCAAGTGAAGAGCCACCCCTGACAAGGCCCTTCTCTTTGTTGCCACCAACTTAGCCTCCCTCAGAGGTGGCACTTGGAGGCAGGCCCCGCAGCTTGATTGCAGGTGGGTGGTGAGAGGCTTTCCATGAGGTATCGTGGTTCATCAACACAGGTGACATGAAGTCAGCTGGGAAGTTGAGCAGCCAGCTGCCCTCCCCTATTGCTTCTTGGCTGCCTCTCTTGCCTCCTCATTTAAGCAGGTGGCACCAACAGGAGCAAATCCTGCTTCCTATCCACAGGGCATAGCTGTGGCACTGCAGCAGGCATGGCCCAGCATGTGACTCTTCATGACAAGGTCATCTCAGTAAATAATCTAATAGAAACTGGAGATACAGTGCAAAACTAGGTCCTTTTCATCAAGCTGTACTATAGCCTCTCTCACTCTTGTTGCCCTCCAGATGTTTTGGATTCCAGCTCTCAGCACCCCAAGCTATCATGGCCCATGGCCAGGAATAATGGGAGCTGTAGTCCACAACACCTAAACAGCACCAGGTTGGAATGGGCTGCTGTAATATTACTGTTCCCTCCTGCTGAAGTTGGAGCATGAGCCTGCCCATCTAACAGAGCTCATCATCCACGGTCCCCTTTCTCTGATGGAGGCTTGGAAGACAACAATAAGTGATGGCTGCCCTCTGGAAGAACCATCTCTCCAGTGAAGCCTGCCTGGCCTCAGTGCTGCTGTCTTTTCAGCCCCGTGTTAAGACCTGTGTCTTCTCTCAAGCATTTGGCAGGATAGTCAGGTCTTGCATTTTTAATATTGCTGAGTCCTCATTTATTTATAGATGTGAGCGGGGGAGGGAATTTTAAAAGACTGCAAAAATCCACTTATCCTTTCTGCCCAAGCCCCTTTCAGATTTATGGAGTTAATCTATGCTAGTTCCATCTGTAAGGCCAGCATTTTCTCTAGTACTTCATCCCATGGTATTCAAAAGGTAAACGAATCCTGAAAAATAATGTGGCACTTACAAATTTCTGGCGGGGAACACTGGGAACTACCAGCTGCACCTGCTCGAATGGACAGATCTCTGTAGGATCATCCAGTTTTTGTAAGGCGGCATATTTGTATGGGTCCATAAGTGTACCTATTAAATGAAGTAGACATTAAACTGAGTTTGTTAGTAAAGAGTCAGGACAGAAGGACCCATGAACTGCAAGAATCTTTTGGTTTTGCAAAATCCTTTGGGGTCCAGCTGAGCTCATCTTGTATATATGGCAACTGCATACATGTGGGTCATGGGAGTCTGACCAAGTATAATGTGATGGGGCAGAACTGTGTTTTAGGGTCTGCATCCAGTGAGGCTGCTTTGCCTCTGCTGACTCCACTGCACCTATGGGATCTGTTCCTTGCAAATGGGGTGGGGTGAGGGTTTGGCACTTCTAAAAATAACCCTGGAAACAAGCAGAAATGCTTGTTCCCAGATTGGGACATGAGAGCTTCTGAGAGCTTTCCTGACCTGCCCCGTTCTGGAAGTGAGCATTTGTATTTGGGGTTGTTTTTACAAGGTTCAGAGCCCCATTTTGCATGAGCGAAGGGTCCCACAAACTCGGAGGAGCAACAGGATGCTACCCTTTGTCACCTCAGAAAAGGGATTGCAGATAAGGGCCTGGGGCCCAGCTGCAGTGTGTGAAGAAGCACCAAACATGATTGCACTGATTTAAAAGACCAGGAACAGGCCGCCTAGAAGGCTAGACAAATATTTTTAATTGGCTAAGGGCGCACTCCTAGGGCTGGGAGATGCCACCAGTCTGGAATAGGCAGAGCCTCTATGGAAGCCCTGGAAAACTTTCCAGCTCTGACTTCAGAGTACCCCCACCACGACCACCACCACAGCAGGGTGTGTGTGTGTGAGTGTGTTCGTCCCCGGGCTGTGGCCCTGAAGATAGAAGACTGTCTTTGGGGTGGGTGCTGCAGGGACAGGGAGGGAAGGGGTGAGGCCACACTGTCATCCACTGAATCTGGACTTGCCTGAAAACATTTAGATGGCCGGAAGCAGCCGTCTGACTGTTTGTGAGGACGAGGGGAATACAGAAGCCATCTGCAGCTCCACTCTCCTCCACTGGAGGATGAAACTTCCTGAGTTTGGAGGGTTCTGGCCAACCACATAGGGCTGTGCCCTTAATGGCCCGTTTCCCCGATAGCATGAAACCCACAACTTGGCATTAGTCTTTGTGCCATTTCCATGTGGTGGAAATAAGTACCTTCACTCATGAACTCGTTTAATTCTTGTCCATCAAAGTTCCCACACAGTCCACATGTTCTTCCCATGTATTTCTGTTCAATCAACACCTGTGAAAGAAACAAAGAAAATCAAATCCACTGAAAAATGACTAGGCACTAATATTGTCATATAATATCCTGGTGCATTTTCCCATCCCTTCCATGTCTCCGTGGGCAGGACATGACAAAATACAGCGTGGCGCCATCTTTGCCAGCGGAGGGCACGCTTGGGGCAACACAGACCATGACTGGTGCAGCAGCAGGCTCAGCTGCATGGGCTGCAGTCCAGGTCAGTTTGACCCACGCTGGAGGATTTATTGTGAGACCATCCTCAGTTAGATGAGGAATTTGAACAGGAGTCTTCAGGATCAACTGATTTATGTTGCAATAAATCTTCTGGTCTTGAAGGTGCCACAACAAGACTCCTTTTTTGTTCTTGTAACAAGCCAACACGGTCCTCCCTGTAGAATTTGGCACCATAAAGCATTCAAATGCTTTCTCTTAATCAGGTTTCCTTTGGGTGAAAACAGATGACCACATAGCCCGTGGTGACTGATGGAACATGGTCCACTGGGCAACTCTAATCTGGTGTTGAGCTTGGTTTGTGTGGGGCTTAACCACAGAGTCAGCCAGATGTTATGCAATTTATCCCTTCCTATATGTGGAGGGAAGATGATAAAAGCCCATTCATGGCATGGTGCAAGAGCTTCTTTACATGAGGCATATCCTCCAGCACCCTATCGAGGCTGCTTCTTCCATTTCCTTTGCAGGAGGATTTTTTGTAGGGTTTTTCCAGATGTTCTATTACACACTGTAAGGAGCTTGCACTAAACCTCTGTAGTGAATCCTGGTGCCATCTAGGAAAGTCCCAGGTGTTTCAGCAAAAGTGTGAAAATGGCTGGAAAACTCAGGAGAAGCTCCAGGAGGAGGATGGCATCATGTCAAGGACCCATGGATCCATGAGTGAGGGCTCAGCCATGCACAAGAAACGCCTTGTGTAGAGAAGCCCTAGAACAGCTTGGGCCATTTCCAACACAGGCCATCAGCCAGCAGAGTGGAAGGGCTGCCAGCAGAGTTCTGCCTGCCCACTGTGGCTGTGCACGGCCCCACCCCCAAATCCGCTCCAGAGCAAAACTTTGCATGATTGCAATGGCCTTGTTTTGAGGTCTGAGACAAGGCTCCACAGAAACATTGAGGCACATCCAGTCAAGTGATGCCCATTTTTCTTGGGCATCTGGCATCCACGTCTCAAACTATTTTCGCATGCAGTTTCTGCCATGCTTCTTATTTTTGCTCAACCTGAGCATGTGATGTGCCTTAACTTTTCTCATCCTCACAAGGCTGACCAATAAAATCACTATCCGTGTTTGGTTTGCCAATTGCCACCCTGACGCCTTGTGGCTGAAGTGGAGAAGGCATGCAAAATAATTCCCTCAGGGAAAGTGAAGGAATGTTAGAGTTCCAAACATGATCTCTAGAGTGGGAAGAAAATTAGATTTACTCACCATGAGGTAGTCATCATTATTCCAGAAAACAGCAAGCTCAATCTCCATCAGTTTGGCCACTAGGCGGATGAGGCGTCCAAACGGTGCAATCTGAATTCCATTCTTGGTATATGGCAACTTGATTATACTATTGGAAGAATACATCAACTTAGATACTTCAAAGTTTGTCTTTACTTCCAAGTCAAAAAACCATCCTTTTTGCTCTATATGATACCGAGGACTCACTAGGTGGAGCCACATGTGGGGATTTTGGGTAGCTCTACTTATTCCCTGTTGGATGCATTATCACGATTCCACTGCATTCTTCCTTTTGCAAGGAACTCAAGGTGGCTTACAACATTCTTCTCTGCTCCACTTTGTCCTCACAACAGAAACCTATAAGTGGGTTAAACTGAGAGTGCGTAACTGGCCCAAAGTCACCCCATGAGCTTCATGGCTGAGAGGGGGCTAGAACCCAGTGCTGCACTCATAATGGCTGCACCGTACTGGCTCCCAGGATGTGCTAGGGTGAAACTACTGGTGTTGATTTACCTCCTAGGCCACGGGTAGGCGACTCGGATGAAAGGGGAGGCTGAATGTGAGTTGAATGATGACCACTGATGTAGTTTGGTCCCTGGTAGGCACATCAGGAGATGATCCTCCCCATGCATCCACCAAGAACCATTTTTGCTGCATGCAGATTGGAGAAGATCTATGGGCAGTGAGGCTGCTTCAGCTGCCCTAAATTTTCCTCTATTGGAGAGAGGCCGCAGGGCAGGCAAAGCTGCTACCTCCCCACTTCCCTTGTTATCTTTTGTGATGAAAGAGCTCAAGGGGATCTCACTGTATGCCACTCCCCCTCCCCCCACACCTTCATCACAGATTGGAGAGAAGTGGATTCCCCCTCCCATCTACTTAAACAGCTCCAGGAAGCCTTCAGGCCGGGGGCAGAATGTAGGGGTGGGGTGGCCTGAGGAAGGAGGGCGGCAGGGCTCATGGAGGGAACCGAAGTTCTTCAGGCTGGGTGGGCAACTTCCACATGCCATCCCTTGTATTAGGTGATCCTCAAATATAATTTTTCCTGCCTGCACATTTACTTCCTTATTCACAAGCTTGAATTCCCGGAAGTGTTTTTCTGGATAAATGCATGAAAAGATCACGTAGGAACATTTTACCTTTTTAATGTACAAACATCTTATATAAGATGTTTGTATATTAACAGCTTATTTAAAATGATGAAAAATGCACTCTGCAGATGCTTGAAAGCAGTGCTTTTTTTGTAAAAAAAAAAAAAAGGTGCTGGAACTCAGTAAGCGCGCGACCACACACACCAAGCAGCAATGTCCCAAGCAAGCAAGCAAGAGCAACACCCTCACTATCTCACTATCAGATAGCAGACACAAAAGCAGCCTGCAGGCACTATGTTAATGATGTTTGCTGCTGATCTGCTAAGATTCAAAATCACTTGGTAAAATCCATTGGAAAAAACAGTGCCGGAACGCAGTTTCGGTGCGTTCGATGACAAAAAAAGCCCTACTCGAAAGTATAGTTTGTTGAGAGAGTGACTGGCCTGTATTTAGTATTTAGTAAGTAATTTAGCATTATTTATTTATTTAGGAGATTTAGTAAGGCCCAGCCTTACTAAATGCTCACAGTCCCAAGCTCCACAGGGAAAAGTTAAGTTAACCAGAAGTCTGCTAAGGAAACAGCAGTAGGAAATGGCCCAGGACCGTGCTAGCTAAGGGTTCAGTGCTAAGTCCTGCTCAATGCTAAGCTTGCCCTCAGTGGCAGGCTCCTTCTTGAGGAGCCCCTGTCGAAGGAAGTGAACTGGGTGGCAGCTCAGAGGGCCTTTTCTGCTGTGGCACCCTTGCTGTGCAACGAACTTCCCAGAGAGACTCTCCTGGCACCTACATTTCATAGGTGAGGACCATATTTTCCCAGGAATTTGTTTTAGCCTTTCAGACTCTGCTGCTTTCAATTTTTACTGTATTTTAAATCTTTGTACCACTGCTAGGTTTAACTTTGGTTTTTACTTCTCTTTTGTACTGCACTTTTAAACTTCTATCACATATTTTGTGTTGTGTTTTATGCTTTTTGCTGAGAATGACCTAGGGAGCTTCAGCTACTGGGCAATATAGAAATGTAATCAATATACTAAAAGATGGCTGATCCTTGAGGTTACAAAGCAGTGGAACTGGTTGCCAGATTTTCCCTTGTTTACAGAAAAACGTGTCTGCCTCCAGTTGAGATATAAGTGAAGGAAAACACTTTTCTACCAGAGACTTACCCAACATCTTTGACTGATATGACACCGTTTTCAACGATGATCACATTGGGTCCTATCGCAATAATGATTCTTGACATTTTCCCATTTGTATTGCGACGGAACTGTATGTTGAAGTCTGGAGAGACGTCATTGCACACCGTGGCAAAGATGTAATTACACTTCCCCGAGAAATCATACAAGTAGTTGTCAAAGGTGGAGAAGTGCCCATTGCCCCAGGTGGAACAGGAGCCCTTGTTCACAGCTAAAAGAAAGTACACAAAGGTATAGTGAGCTGCGGTGTTCTTTGATGCCTCTGTGCACCATTCTAAATGCTGTTTTTTGCAGAGTTTTCAAAGGCCACAGTTGATATGTTGCCCATGAGCCACAAGCATGCACGTGCACTCTGAGTACCAAGAACAAGTCTTGTGAGAGTTTCCATCCATACCACGTGCCCCAGTGGGGATCCCAAGTTGCTTTTTTGATCCCCAGCTGATGCAATCTGCCCAGAATGCTTGGAAGTTGGAGGATTATGGGCATCCTATGCAGAGTGGGAACAGTGCAAAGGCAAAGCTTAACCCTGAACTGTTTCCACCATGCAAAACACTTAGATGGCCAATTTCAACCACCAGTTACTTTCAGAGTGCAAGGAGAGGAGGCCGAGGTGCTATTAAGTATTTGGGTGGAGGCTTTCTCCTTCTCTCCTCATGCCCTAAAGTCTTTCTCCAAGGTCCCTCTTGCAGCTGACATGGTTCTTTCTGTGCCTGCTGCATGGGCTCTGTATCTGGAACTCCAAATTTAGGGCCCCAGCTTTGACCACAAAGTACATTTCTGAGGTTGGGGATCAGACTCAAAATAATCCCAAATCATGGTATTATAGTAATCCCATGGCCATGTAGACTCTGCCTGCCAGCCCTAGACTTGCACCCAGAATTTCTCATGCTAAAAGGGAAGCTTACTGAAAGAAAGGGGACATGGAGCTGGGTTCCCTCATGCTTATTAAAGACTGGGGCACTTTTCAGGTCAAAATCCAATATATGTGAATGGACTTCCAGTTGCGCAATGGGACTTTTCTGCTCTTTCCTCCCCTCCATAGCTGGCACAAAAAACTCCAGAGCAAATTTTTGAGGATGTAGGGGAAATCAATCAACCCTGGCCCAGTTGATGGAGTCCACCCTCCAAGAGGGGATTCTAAGCCTAAAAGAAGCAAGCGAGAATGAGCCGTCTGTTCAGAGCCATGGAAGCAGGCAACTAAAGATGGTTATTGTTGATGAGAAATATGCTGAGTTATGAGGACAAAGAGCTGAGGTAAAGAAGGCAAGAAGTTGTGCTGGATGCACACATCATTCCCTGTTTCTGGGCAATGAGAAAATGGTTGTGTCTGGAAGAAAGAATAACATGACCTCACTTCTCTCTCAGCATGTTGTGGGTGGGGGAGAAAATGTTTACAAGCCTAACAGTATGTATATAAACAGTGACCAAGAAAAAGCACAGTTTCATATAATTTTTGTTTTTGAGTAAAATCAGACTTCCTAGGTTAATAAGCATATATTGATCAATGTTGTTGTACACATATAATGAATGTTCACAGTATTTCTAACTCCACTTGGGAAGAAAGCAGGATTAATTCTTACTTTCATTTACAAGGAATCAGGGTGGTGCACATACTGCAATTCAATGGGAATGCAGCTAATGAACAAAACACACAGAATGTGGACCAGCATGCAGAATTCAGCTTGCCAACCATTTCTAGTATTCTTTTCTCTCTTTAAAGTTTCCAGTCCTCATAGATGTGAATGCCTGCCAGTAATGTAACAATATGTGTTGAACTCTCAGGAGGTTAAAAGAAAGGCTCAGTAAGCTTTTCACCTATGTGTGGAAACAGAGCTCCAAGGCCTGGTGTAGTCTTTGCCCATAACAACACAAATCAGAATACTAAATGAGAAATTGTATAAAATGTACTCATTTTTCATAGAGTGTACAGGCAACATAATTCAGCTTTACTTGAGGTAGATTCTGGACTGCCTGAATAAAGAATACAGTTATGCTCTTTTAGCATAATGCTCATGCTGTTCTGCTTATACCTTCTCTGGAAGTACCGTGAATCAGTTATCACATTAAATAAATAAACTAAAACTAAGGTATAAAGTACCTGTGTGATGGAGACTGGGATCATCTAGATTTCTCAACTCTGCAGAATAGGTTTCTAGAAAAGAGCAAAATGTGCATTTGTCAAGTCTGCTGTGCACACAAGACATTGCAGCATTACCTGATTCTACAATCAAAGCAATTGCATGGTCTTGTTGAAATTACCCGTAACTGGACTGCTCCAAGGTATTTGCTGCTTGAAGCAAAGGCGAGATGGTACCTTTGCATTCCACCTACAGCAGCCAACCAGACTAGAGTTGAACCCCTGGGGATGAGGCAGTGTCTCCCAGCACACCTTAAGACCCCAGGCGAGCTTAGGGGGAGAAAGGCAGGGCAAGTGGCACACGCAGCGCTGGCTTACAGCTTGCTGCCCATCTGCACCTGCCAACTGAGGCGGATGCTTCACTTTGGCTAATGGAAGAGCCAAACCTGTTCCATCACATCCCATAACCACCCAGAGAGGTTTGGCTGTGGGGTACTATAGAAATGAAATAACAATAATAATCTCAGATCTGGGCCCTGGAATATCCCATCATGGCAACTGAAATATCTCTTTGCCAGGAGATGAGGGAATCCTAGGAAACAAATAATGACACATTTAGCACCATCATTTTCTGCCTTTTTCATGAAAAAACCTCAAGGCAGTGTATATAATCCTCCTATGCATTTCATGCACACAACAACCCAGTGAGGTAGGTTAGGCTGAGAGTCAGTGAATGAGGCAAAGTCATTTGAACCCAGATTTCTCAAAACTTATTCCCACATGCTAGTCATAGCACACAAGCATAGATCATCTTCTCCTTCTCCTTATTTTTATCTTGCCATTATGAGTAACCCAAGGAGGCTTGCAAAGCTCCATGCTATCCTCACAACAGCCCTGTGAGGTAGGTTAGGCAGAGGGTCTGTGACTGGCCCAAAGTCACCCCGGGAGCTTCATGGCCAGGTGGGGACTAGATCCAAGATCTCCAAGGCCCCAGTCCAGCACTCTTGCCACCACACCTTGCTGGCTTTCTATTACCAGTAGTCCTCCTGCTATTAATGTTAACTATGGCCTGACAGAAATATTGCTGGAGATGGGATTATTTTTACATGATTAAATTTACCTCAGGATTCACCTTCAAATCAAACCAAGTATTGTCATAATAATATGGTTTGTAACATCTTGGGTAATCATGGTGAGTGTATTTTAGTTTTGGTTCTCTACGTTCTAGGGTCAGATTCTCAAGTGTTTTTATGTATTTAAACTCTATCTAGTATCAAAGTATTTTACAAGGTATCCAGTATGCATCTACTCAGAAGTAAGTCTCACTTACTTCAATGGGACATACTCCATCTTATGTAAATGCATATAGGATTGTACCTTTAATTAAAATTTCTGTATCAATTCAGGAAGAATTGAAATAAAAAGCACAGGAAAATGCCTCTCTCTCTTGCTCCCCCTCTCTTTCTCTGGAAGCTATGTACAGGAGAAAGGGAAGACATATTTCAAAAAGTTACTTTTTAAATTCTTTCTTTCTTTATAATTTTATTAGGGTTCATGTTCTGAACCAGACAATGGCACAGTTGGGTTAGATGGTCATTTCTACTCTAGTGATTACTGCTGATTTTTCCCTCGTGTTATGTGATGATAAAGTAGGTTCTGGATATTTTGGAATAGCAACATCAGGAAACAGAAAAGAAAGTATTTCTTTCTTCTTTTGATTAGCAAAGGTAGAGTTTCTAGGTTCTACTGACAGGAAAAGAAATACTCACCTGAATCATGCTGTTCAGCACTCTCTCTGTCTAAAGGGAAATCAGTATATATTTTAGAGATTTTATAGCTATATCCAGCATGTATATAGTTATAAGTAAATACCTTGCAATTTATTGCTGAAGTCTATCATAGAACTTAAATCCCATTGGTGGAATGCTACTCAAAAACAGTGCATGGGGTAATTCAGAACACACACACACTGCTTTAGTGGCAAAGTCTAATAAGCTCAAATAACTATAGGTCATTTTCTAACTCTTTATGATTATAGAGGCATGATTGCTACTCTACTCTACAAAATGGGATGGAGCCACAGAAAAGATGCAGTTATTGTGCCATTCCTTCCAGTTTCTTCCAGTTTCTGCTCCCAGGAAAGAAGTAGAACAGCAAGTCTGGACAATATGGTGACTACCCCCACTAGTGCATGAGTATCAGTAGCAATTTCTCCTATTTCAGCATTACATAGAAATATAGAAACAGAGCGAGTCAGAAGGGGTCTCCCGGGCCATCTAGTCTGACCTCCGGCACCAGCCGGCTCCACTCACGACATGCCCACCATGTGCATGTCCAGCCTATCTTTGAACACCCGCACCGATGGGGCCTCAACGACCTCTCGTGGAAGCCCATTCCACACCCTCGGGCGCCTGACTGTCAGGAAGTGCTTCCTGGCATCCAAATGGAACCTTGGCTTCCTGCGCTTTGCTCCGTTGGAGCGCATCCTGCCTTCCTCTGCAGGGGAGAACAGGTCTCTACCCACCTCCGTGTGACATCCCCTCACATACCAGGAGCCTAGGAAGGGAGCCATGGAGGTATAGCAAACACACCACTCCTAGCACATCAGAACCAGCCTAAATTCATGTTTGCTATGAAGAAGTGTACCTCTTTCTGGTGCTACTTCCTGTTGTTGCAAAATCTGTTGTGCCATAGGAGCTTGTCCATGAAAACCTGTGGGAGAAATGGCAATTGGAAAAGAAAATAAATATTAACATTGCTTTTCTGCCCAGTGCTGAAACTGTTCAGGTTTAAAACACAGAAAGAAATGCATCCCTGAATCCAAGAGATACTTAGGTTTTGTTTGTTTAAGCTGGCCAAGTTTACCTTGTCTGCATTTAAACTGTACCACTTCTTGACAAGTTACTCCAAGAATGTTTGCTAGTAAACCAAGGTTTGTAACATCTAATATATCTCACACAGATAAAGAAAAATATCACAGCTTACTCTGGGTGAACTGCTCTCTTGCAAACTCAGTTATGCCATTAAGACAGGGGCTAAATAGAAGGGTTCATTACATACATAATAGTACATAATAGGAAGTAGAACAGGCTCCTATCCTTTTTACAGTTGCATTAAAGTCACACAGCAGGGGGGTTTTTTGTATTGTAATGTAATAACAGTGCTTTCCATTTTAAAGAACGCTTAATAGAATTCATACAAGAAGCCTGACCTGTATTAAATCTGGGAGTCCAGGTCATGGGGAACGGCTGGTTTGAGTTTCTTAATTTCCTACTACATGGGGAGTGGCTGGTTTGAGTTTCTTAATTTCCTACTACATTTGCCCACAGTTGCCACAATGCCATTGATATATCCAGAAAAGGGCAGCCATTTCACTAGAGGGAGTGGCTTGACATTTTATTCTGGCTAAGTGGGGTGTACAAATAGAGTACACCTCTTCACAAGTAGTGGAGAAGAAATACTTCAGTCTTCAGATACTTCCTGGAGAGGAAGTCAGAGGAATATAACAATACTCTATTATGCAATACTTTGTAAACATAATCTTTATTGTTTGAACTTCCCTGTGAAGGGAGATAATGTAAATTTTACAGTTTATTTCTAGTCAAATGAGATATTGGCAGTAGATGGAGTTTTGCTGAGGGCAGCTTCAGAGATGACCAGGGTATCCCTGTATTGGATCATACTGACATTCACGTAGAACTGGGCCATCTCACATGATGGACTTCAAAACCACCATGTCTTTCAAAAGCCATTATTTGCATTTTGTCATGAACATGATGTTAGCCTTGCTTATCCTATGCTGGGACCCTTTCAGACATCCTGGTTCTGTGCCCTACCCTGTCATTATACAAAGGGGTTGGGAGCATTTTATATGAATCTATCTTGAGATGTTTCACTTAAGTAAGTTATACCTTTGCAAATTTAAAAGCTTGTGCCTGATGTGTTACTAAGTTCTGGGGTTAAACATTCCTTTTAATGGTGCAAAAACATATAAAAGGAAAGAGTTCTGGCAGAAGGTTATGCTATTATGTGGTTATGGTATTATGAGTTTTGCTGTCTTGATTAGTAAGTATGCACTTATTGCTATGGGCACCAAGGGACTCAGATGAAGAGACATTTATTTTTAATTACTTATGGTTTTTAAAAATTTCATTTCCTAGCTTTTGGGATGTGGTGTTGAAGCTAGTGGGAGAAACAGGGGAACACTGCACATTCTCTGTGTCCAAGAGAATGTGGAGCAGAAGCAGAGAGAAATGAGGGCTCTTTGGGAATCGGACGTAGGACCAGTCATTCTATTGTCTTCCACAGTTGTGTCACTGGAAGGATTGCTTCCATGATGACCCGTTTGTTTCTAACTAAGCAAATATCACAAAGACGCAATAAAAAACCAGTGCTCTCTCATCCAAACAAATCAAAGCTGCAGTGCTGGCAGGCCCTCTAGGCCTCATTTTACAGCCCATCATCAATGCCAAACTGGAGGTCTTCCATGAGGTTGATTTGTTATGGTCATAAATAACTAGTTTGTAAAAACTTGAGGCAGTTTCCCCAACAAGCATGAAAGAAAGAGGTGAAAGCCCATGTCTGGGCCTTTGAGCAAGTCTGGAATGGTAGGAAGACTGGGATCCAGAAGACGTCCGTGCTGGCCAATTGTCATGCGAGCTACATAAGGCAAGGCCTGTATCACACAGATACACTTCTTTGCATACATAATTCAATGTTACCTGGTCACATTCTGTTTGACTCTGTCTATCCCCCTATTCTCAATCATTTCTAATACTTTCCCTTCCCTAGCAGAAAGTGTCCTTGCCATTACTGGAGTTTCCCAAGCTGTAGTGAGACTTGGAGTGAGTAATCTATATATTCCCACTTCTGGATTGCCCTCCCCAGAGAGGTTCACCTGCGGTTGTGGTCTTTTGGGCACTATAAATGAAGCCCTTTTAAAGTTCCCCTAGGCATTTTGTCTTTCTGTTTTTACTGTTTTCAAGTGTGTTATATTTTTAGAACTTTACACTACTGCTAGGTTTTGTTTTGGTTTTCTATTTCAGTCTTAACTTTTAAAAGTTGTATGCTATATTTTGTCATGTTGCTAATTTCACAAACTTTTGGGAAAGGGTCAGAGTACTATATTGGTCAGTACAGAAATGAACCAATGCATGCATGCATGAATACTGCCAAGTCCAGGGTTGGTCATGGTACTCCAGTCCTCAGAACCTCTACTAGCCTGTTGCTCCTAACTCCTCCTGCCCAAAAATTCATCCTTCTCCTCCCTAGAGACTCCTGCTTCTGTGTCAAGCAGCTGCTCTCTCAGGTGCTGCCAGTTGAGCCTCACACTATCCTGGGGTGCCAGTGCCAACCTCTGCCCAGGGCTGCTATTCCACCTACTGCCTTTCGGCCTCTCTTCTCATCTGCCTCCTTGAGCTGCCCACCGCCAGACCAAGCCCATTGTCCCTGGGAGGGCACGACAGTGCCTGCTATCCTTTTGTGGGCCCGTAGCTTACCAATGTATTGCTGAAATTAGGCCCAGGTGGGGCCAGCGTGGTGAGTCGCTCCTCGTTGTATCTGAGGGTCTGCCACTGTTCCTGGGTTTACCCTTTCCTCTTTTAGTGCCAGCCGTGCTCGGCTCCTCACTGCACATAAAAACTGCAATAGAACTCATATGCTTGTTTGCCGACTCCCCTCCCACTTCCTTCCCACTCATGTCTTGCTGTCTCTTTCATGGCTGGCACGGTTTGCTTCCACAAAAGAGGGGCAGGTCATTGTGACCTCACGCTGATGCTGCCTGCCTGGAGAGGAGAGGGGCGACCACTGTGACCTCGCGCTGATGCTGCCTGCCTGCAGAGGAGAGGGGCGACCATTGTGACCTCACGCTGATGCTGCCTGCTTGAAGGAGACCGGTCCTCATGACTGCAGTGGGGATGAAGGATGAGGCCCAACCCCTCTGCGAACCTGCTTCAAGATGTCCAAGAAATAATTCTGAGTCTGACTGGGGAGTGGGGAGGGGGAAGATACTGCCATGGCATGAAGGGTGCCAGAGCGAGAGATGGGGAGGAGAACTATGACGCAGAAGAGGCCAACTTAATCTACCAAAGAGATCCGAAACAATCAGGAGGGGAGAAAGAGGAGGAGGGAATCAGAAGTCCAAGGGTTGGATGTCAGAAGAAAAGGGAGGAGCAATTCAATGCAACTCAATGTGCTCAGAGTCTGGCAAGCAGAGAGACCAAACCAGTGGAAGGATCTGCCTTAAGGATGGGGCAGAGCAATGTGGGCTTGGCCGATCGAAGGGAATAAAAGCTTGCTGCTTGGACATCTAAGCTACTGGCTGCCTGCAGAGGTGGCCTCCAACAGTGTCTTTGTGCTGGTGTTGCCCAGTGGATGAGGAAAGAAGCCAGGGTGTGTGTTCTCACATTCCCTCCGCCCATCGGAAGGCTATGCTCCTATGTTGCAAATGCTTTAACCATAATTGTTCCTGATACATCCTAGATCAGAACAGGATTTTAAAGAACGCTTTTATATTCCTATCCTTTCAAATGCAAGATTTCTCACTGCCCAGCTTCTAGTGTCCACCAGGCATGGGGTCACGGGCCCCTAACTCTGTGCTGGCTGCCAGTGATAACGCCTCCCTTGCTGCTCACCACCCACTTTTCAAAGCCAGGAACACCATGGAAAGCAGCTGCAATTTAAAGATGCGAAGCGTTCTTAGAGAATGAGGGCAAACTAAAATAAAAACCACGCACTGGAGAGGGGGTATTCGTAAAGCCAAAACCAAAGCTACCTTTAAGCCAAAATGAACAGACGTTTGCCTTGCAGATGAGCTCCCCTGAGCCCCAAAGCTGGCAGTGATGAGCTCACCCTTGATCTGTCTAGAGCTGTTCTGACAATGGGGTGAAGCATGTTCGCAACTAGGGACTACATGGATCCACGCTTCTATGACACCTTCCTGGGAGGCTTGTTGAGCTCAATGGGGCTTATGACTAAGTGAGCCTGCACAGGAATACAGCACAAGCTAAAGCATAAATGCACTATAAATATCATGAAGTTTTTAAGCAGGTTATGTTATGGTTGTCTACATGTTGGTCTTCAGGGCATCCAGCTCAGCCTCTTTGGCAGAGCACCTGTTGAGCAAAACCTGAAATCTCTGTGGTTACATACCATAGTGACAATTTGAAATAAATGGTCTTTTTATTACTAAATCAAGCAGGATATTTGAATAGACATTGGCCATCATCCAATGTATAGTTATTTACACTTAATTTTCATTGAAATGCTGTCATTTCAGTGTACATAGCTCTAAGCTGGACTGTGGTCATTGTGAATGTGAAATATTGCAGAGTGTTTAAAAATAAAAAAAGAACAACAAAGAAGCTTGAAGCACCTTAAAAGATGATCATTTGATAAGCTTTCATGGACCAGAGCCAACTTCCCCAACCCAGTGCCCTCCAGACAGGCTGGACTACAGTGGCTATTATTTTAAGCTGCCGCGTCTACTTTTGGGACTAGGAGGGCACTAGGTTGGGAAAGGCTGGACTAGAGCATACATATAAAGTGTCCTCCACAATTAATATACATGCATGCGTGTGTCCACACACACTTCTATAGAACAGTATATGTGGTCAAATGTCCATGAAATGCAAGGCATATGCTCTGTGATACTTCTATGTAGTATTCAGATGTACACAAAGTCTTGCATCTGAGTTCTCTCTTGCTAATGAAGTGGCTCTTCCATTTGTGGTTCAGTGTAGGTTCATCCTGGTGGAACTGGGGAGCAATCTTCTGCTGATTCCCACTGCAATGCCCACACTATTCTGGGGGGTCCCCAGCTTCCCTCAGGTGCTGGGAGTACAAAGGACAGGAGAGTAAACTCGTAAAAATTCCCCCTGCCACAGTGAGATTGTCCCAACAGTGGAATGCCACTTCCCCAAGATTAACCCTCGCTGCCTGAAAAGTCTGGAACCAAGACACAATAAGTACGGTGCCCATACACAGTAGCAGCGGTTGCCAGGGACAGTGTTCTTAAGCAATTTGCTATGTTCATTTAAGTATCCAGGATATTCTCCATCGTTCCTTTCTGTCTCTTGTGCCCAACAAGTAAACTAAACTACTCTGGGGTGAGTTCTTGTCCTGGTGTAGTTAAACTTTATCATCAAGTGACAGGGAGAATTTTATCTCCCAATGAAACTTTCTTTCTCTGTTCTCTGTCAGCTTGCTCAAACATGGTTCCAAAATACAAGCAAAAAACAACAAACGAACAAAAACCCAACAATGTCCTACAACAACATTATTAAAAACATCTGGGATATAAATGGAACCTTTTGGATCTAAAAAACCTACCTGCCTGCCTGCCTTTCTGCTAGAGCTAAGGACTTCTTTTGGAAAGTTTTAGAATTAGAAAAGGCTGCCTCCAGAAAGGATGGGCTTTCCTTCTGTGGAGGCGTTCAAGAAAATGCCACACCAGAGATGTTGTCTCAAGGTTCCTGCACTGAGCAGGGAGTTGTGCAAGATCACACACGAAAATTGTGTGAGTTGGTGATCTTAGCATGCCCCGCAGTAAATGACATATAAGAACATGGTAAAGCTATCAAGGGCTTGAGGCTGCTCAGGTTTTCCCTGCACTATTTACCCTGAACTGCAGGTTCCCCTGCTGCATGGAGGCCATGTGCTGGAGGGATTGATGTGTGGCATGGTGAGCAGCTGTTAAAAATGACAACGTTCCCAGAGTTCCCTTGGGTGCATAGAAATAGTTGTCCCGTCTCCTGGATGGTACATTTCTTTTGAATGAGTTGATGTCCCAGAGATCCAGATATCACCCCACAAATCCCATAACTAGCACTGACATATTGAAAAGATCAAGAATAGACTACTGGGAGGCAGCAACAAAAATAAACTCCTTATTGAAATAGTTTGCTAGACATGTTTACTCAGAAATAAGTCCCAGAAATTGAGTTGAACAGCGCTTTTAACTAAAAAATTGTTTATAGAATTACAGCCTGAAGGTTTTGATTCATTTCACTTATTCTGTTGATGAGACCCCAAAGTGCTGCAGATGAACTGTGTTTGCATCCTAGATAAGTCCTCCTCCACCTGGTGCCCTCCAGATGTGCTGGACTGCAAACCCCTCATCCACTGCTAGCATGGGGTTTGTAGTTCACTACATCTAGAAGGCACTAGGTGAAGGAAGGCAGTCTTGGAACATGACCAAAATGCTCTGCAAGCATTCTGAAGTGGCAGGTAGGTGGACATGTTTGGGCTGATGTCCAAGAGTTCCCTAAAAGTAGAAGATCGGAAAAATCTCAGTCATCGATACTGTTCAAGCCTTAATGCCATGGTTTGTCAATGATCAAATGTTGCAGCATATCAACATTCAAATATCAAATACCAAAATCAATTATGGGTGGCAAATATGCTGGCAAGTGCAGAGATGAAATATTTGCTGAATATTTGGTAGAACAGAGAAGGTCTGAAAAATATTTGACATCATAATTCACAGAATAGAATTTTGAGGATAACTTTCAGAAGCGCCAACATCTGCCAAAGATATATAAAGAAGTCAGATAGAAATCTAAAAATAAATAAATATTTAGACCAGGATGCACCTGATGATAAACAAGGTCTGCTGTATCATTTTTTTCTTTTCACATTAAATTCCAGGTGTTGGAATGTGCAATCAAGATGGGACTGGAGTTGTTCCCATGCTATGATACTGGTGAAAATTATCTACCTAGCAGACATTGCTCTAGATCGGGAGGGCAGTTCCCATTGGTGCCAATGGGGGCTTTCTTCAGCTGGGGAGGGTTCTTGGGGACTTCAGTGGGGCTTGCTTTTGAGTAGATGTATGTAGGCTTGTTCTGGGAACAGGATTACAGATTAGCCTGTGAAGTTTAAATGAAAACTTTAATGGTGCCTATTTCTTTACAGAGTTGTTCTATAAATGCATCTTCCAAGGATATGTTCTCTTATGTGGTTCTTGTCAAATGGGTCATTAGGTGCAGTAGACAATACAAAAGAAACAAATTTAAGACTGTTTGGACTAAGTGAAACCATTTTTTTTCTTTTTAAAGAGCTTAAACTATGTGCTTAAAATGTTTTTGGCAGCCTTGGGACCAACTGAAACTGTAAATGATTACAGGTGGAAAACAGAAAAGACTGAGAAGAAGAAATCACAGCCTAGGAGAACATTAAAATTCACCACAAGAGAGTTTGTTAGATAATATGCCATATATTTTCGGTACATAGGTAAAATGATACATATTCCATAGACTTACCTGGTAAGTTGTTTGAAAGACTCAAATGGTTCTGATCTGAGAAACAAGAAAAAAGTCAATTATGGAACAAAAACTTTGAAGGTAAAATATGAAGCATGTACTTTGAAGTGAAGAGAACTAGCATAGCTGCCTATCTTGATGCAGAATCAATGGCTTGTGGCTCTGATAGGTAAATAGAGCCTCCATGTTCAGAGGCAGTATATGGGGAGAAACAATAGTACCATCACCATCATGCCTTGCTCATAGTAGGCTTCTGTTTACTCTTGGAATGCCAAACTACTGGGATTTTTCAACCTATCCAGCAACATGATTAGTAAGTCTTTCAAAAACTTTATGCAACACATTTAATTTTTAAATCAGCCATAACTGAAGAATCTATAGACTCACACAGAAGCATCTTTGAAGGGAAATGCACAACATGAAGGGTGCAAACCTATGCATGCTAAGATAGAAGTCCTACAGCTCCCAGCATTCCACAGTCATCATGGCTGGTGAGGTGCATGCTGGGAGCTGTAGGACCTTTTTATGTCTCAGCATGCATAGGATTGTACCCTAGATGAATATTTAATTGCTTAGACTAATGTTTGAATGCCATCCTGGAAGAGTTTCATGCAGGAATATTCAGGATGATGAATGGGGGAGACCTAGGATCACTTGTCTGCAGTTCAGAGTGGTGTAAAAGTGTTCAGTTTAAGGGTTTTTTTATATTAAGAAAGACATATCAGCAGTGGCATAAAAATAAGGAAATGACCCACTTGGATCCAATAAGTATTATGAAGTACAGAGGACAGAAAGATAAAATAGTTACATTTTGTCTTAATCTATTGTATTCCAAACCATCTACTGCCACTTGTAATCACATTGTGTGCCTTTCCTGTCCCATCCTTTAAATTTTTTTTGCTTCCATAATCTTCTCTTTTGGAAGAGACTATTGGGCATTCCAGCCAGCAAGTGTCAAAGGCAATGTGACTTGGAATGCAACTACCAGCAACCTTATCCACAGAACTGCCTATAGTAATAACCCTGCTACCTCCTATTTCTTCATGTCCTGGAATGCTTTGACCCCTGTTTTAAGGCAAAGGCAGGATGCAAGCACTCTTCCGCATCTATTCATTTGCGTCTTTCATTTGGACTTACCTGAGCTGTGCAGGATGCTGCACAGGAGCAGGAGGAGTACCCAGAGCATGGTGTTCCCCTCCCCCCCGCCGGAAAGGAGAAACGTTCCCTCGCCTCCTCCCCTGTCGGCTCAAAATGGGCAGTGCTGCTGCTGCCACTTTCTAGCCTCACCTCGTCAAGCTTGGATGCTTTATATATAGCATGGCAAGGCCCTCCTTTATTCCCATGCACTTTCTGAGATGGCCACAGCTGCGTCAAGTGGAGCCACCGCCAAACAGGATCTTCACTTTATCAGACTCAGCACACTGAAAGGCCATTTAGGAAAGAAAGCACACATACACTTCCTCTCTCTCATTATCTTTTTTACACAGGGAGGTGAATGGATCTGGTGTGTGGTCACTGTGCCCTTATTTACTGTGAAATTAGGCCACGGAGGTCAACTGATATGCCAATCAAGAGTCTACACAATCTGACAGCAGTAAGGCTGCATGGAACCCACTGGGTAAAATCCAGCCCAAGTCCTACTTACAGGAGGCCTATTAAAAGTAATGGGTCTTAAGTGAATCTTGCATGACTTAAAACCCATTCATTTCAATGGAACTACTCTAAGTAGGTTTTATGTTGGATTTTACCCCTAGACTATTGGCTAGGGATGGATGGATGAGTTTACGTACAGGCCATGCCAGTTTTGTTTGTGTTCACATATGGACCCATTGTGTCCCATTTCTGTATCAATCTGTGATACAGACCTTTAAAAACCACATACAATTTGCATTTTTAAAGATTGACCAGCCTTCAATATGCATTCTGTATGAATTTTAGTCTAAAATAATCATTTTATACACACTTTGGTACATTGTTTGAGTTGTAAACCACACTGGGAAATTTAGAGCAGTATGAAAACCAAAAGTTAATGATGTTCTGATGTGTACATTAATCTGGGAAATGCAAATCTGCTTGGTTTGGCAGACTGAATATCCCTACAGGGGGCCAAAGACAGAAGAGGACCTAAGTTATATAGGTAGTCCTGTGGTGCTGAAAATAAGAACAGGTGATAAGGGTAGAGAGTGGGGGAGCGGGCAGAGAGAGAGAGAGAGAAGATCAAAGAGAAGGCAAGGCTCACTTATACTGCCACTTTGAGATCTTTGTGATTAACTGTTCCTTGCCTCCATTACAATCCCATTCTTTTCTTCGGTGCTTCATTTTTCACACACGGTGGCAAGGAAGACTTTTCGGCTCTGTGCAATGAGATCTGTTTCCTGGAGGAGGGCTGGACAAAGATACCTGTGGGAAACATACTTCAGTTTGCAGCACTGTAATAAAAATGCCATTTGAAGGCTATCCCACTATACCAGGCCAGGATACAAGTCACCATGAAATTCTGCTATCCATTTCTCATGGAAATTAGGTATTCTTGTGCAGCATTAAGTTCAGGGGGGTCCATGCAAGAAAATTGTGTACATTGTACAAGACTGAGTGCAATTGAAATTGTATGGCCATACATTTCTAGAACACCCTAGTTGCCTCTTCAAGGAGAATCTACGTGTTCTGTTAACTGCAGATATTTTAGCTATGCATGGTTGCTTTCCATACTCCTGGGCAACTGTCAGGATGCCTGATTTAGACTGGGATCACAGTACTCCAGAAGGAATGGTGTTAAAACTTTTCCCCACCCTGCCCTTCCATTCAACTCTTCATCGGGTGTGGGGTTAAAAAAAGAGTACTTATTGGAGCCAATGAAGGTATTTCCCCCCTTTATGACTCTCTCTTGGAATGGTAGTGGAAGAATTTGGGGGGGGGGGGGGTGGAATAGCTGGGGGATAAGGTTTAACCCCTTTGTCAGAGCACCATGGGCCCAGTCTGAATCAAGGAGGCATCACTTACTGGAGAGTAAGGGAAAATATCATGCATAACTTCATGATTCAATAATGTTTCATTTGATTCTGCAGGGGTATTGTATGAGTAGAATGTACTTTGGATTGCAAGTCAGGGTTTAAGATTCTGGACAATTCTCTGTGAAAAAAAACTCCCCACAAGTAGGAATGTAGCAAAGTATGGAGCAACCTGGCTATTATTTTTACTTGCAGAACATGTTTTTTTTTTAATAATTTTTGTTTCTAATGCTGGACCAGGCCAGGGTTACATCAGTTATGCTGTTGTGAATAGCTTACTTAAGTCTTAAGATCAATGCAAAACATATTTACACTTTCATAGATACAGAACTGGCTCAAGAAAGAGTCAAAAATGCACTTGAAATAGTAACATGGATGCCTTTTCTTTTTCATGCTAATGAAGCATTTCTTCATAAATGTTTACATTGAAATGCAGCAGATCTTTGTTCAGAAACTCATTTCTACAAATGTATTGCATTCTTTGGATTGCATTTACTTAGATTCCATTTCACACATGAGTTTAAAATTTGTTTTTATTATTTGTTGCAAGAGGAAGTCTAAACAATGGCAACGACTAAAAAGATGAACAGAATCAAACAATTGTTACAGTTTTACATAAAATGTTGCATGAAATTTAGTATTAGCCATATGAGTACATACGTATTGTAGCTCACTGTATATTTCATGTGTAGCAACCTATGGGTAAAGGTGATTATGCAGTTCTAATTGTATAAATGATTCATCTCCAGGAAAGTGCTGTGTAGGCGCCCACTACAATATCCACGACAGCAGTGGCACTTTGCAGAGTCGCTATTACAACTGCAGAAATCACAGTTGATGCTCAAAAAACACTCAGACATCACTTCCCACAAATGGTGCTTCCAGACAGCAGCAGTGGATCATAAGCTGGACAGGAAACTTGGTAGCAAAAAAGTTGGCCTAGCAGAAACGCAGGGCAAGCAAACAGGGATGATAGTTAAACTCATAAAAGATTTCTGTACATCTGCAGCATATCTATTACCTCAGCGTTAGTTGCTTTGAGAATCCAACCAGTCAACCAACCGATGTTAGTATAGTCCAAAGCCACAGACATCCCATATCATTTCTGAGCAAGAGCATTTCTATTCATTGGAAAAGGCCACTGGTGCACTTCTTTCACATGATATCTCTCCAATAAACTTTTTACTGATTTTTTGGTTGTGTGATTGTAAAGGAGGATCTCTTCGCTTCATAGTCAGAAGCTAAATGATCACAGTATTACAGGTAGGAAGGGGTTTTGCCCAGATCATGTTGTCTAGCAGCTGTACATAAGAACATTAAAAAAAGTCATGCTGGATTGGCCCAAAGGACCATCTCGTTGTGTGTACACAGGTGGCGAACCAACTGCACACAGCATCCCTCATGCAGGATGGGCGCAAGACCTCCTTCTGCCCAAGATCCTCAGCGACTGGTATATGCATAGCCAGCAGATAGCCTCCTTCCTCATGGATCTCTCCGACCCCCTTTTAAAGCCATCTAGATTGGCAGCCTGCACCCCTCGCCATGGCTACGAATTCCAGAGTTTAACTATATGCTCTGTGAAGGACTTCCTTTTATCTGTTCTAAGCCTCCCGCTATTTGGAGTAGGAAAAGCCAGAGGGCCATCACGTCTTGCTCATTCCAGGATGCTGAGTTAAACCATCCCTTTCAGGTGGCTGTTCAACAGCATCTTGAACGCCTCTAGTGCGGGAGAGCCCACAACCTCCCTAGGTACTGGGTTCCATTGTCCTATCACTGTAACAGGAAGGTTTTCCTGAGGTTCAGCGGAAGCCTGGCTTCCTGTAACTTGAGCCTGTTATTTTGTGTCCTGCACTCTTTGTGACAACCTTTCAAGTGTTTGAAGAGGGCTGTCATATCTCCTCTCAGGCTCCTCTGAGCCACTGACCCACAGCTGAGCACCATGTGTTGCAACCGAGATACTATTGCTGCACTTTTCCAAACCCTCCTCAGTTGATCAGAAGCGCATCCCTGCCTCCTCCTGGGAACAGGGCAGTGAGGCCTTCGCCTTTGCAAGCCTTTTGGGAACACAAGAACAATGCTGCTGTGACGTGCTCTCAGATGATAAATGCGTATGGGACTGTGCTGCCCTGGGTCTAAAAAATTAAGTGAGAAGCAGGCAGTTTGCAGTTGACAGGATTAGACCCGCACCTGGGTGTTGGTTTTCTCTTGTACCAACAGCGAATATGGAGACTTCACAGAGAAAACACCCATCTGCTTCAGCTACTGTTGCATCAGGACAATGATCTAGATGGCTGAAAGCATGTCTTGGACAGCTGCTCCCTGAATCAGAGGCACTGTGTTCAGTGGCAGCTTCCTAAAATGTGAAGAAAATGTGAAGTTTTAGAAGAACGTAAATGCGCTTGTAAGCACCATGTGGCCATTTCAAGGAACCAAATCCAAACACAGCTTTTGTTAAGTTTGTATCTGCAGCTGGAGATGTGGCAGATTTGGAAAAAATGTGGGAGAAAGAAGCACCCCCCCTCCCCATTTCTTCCAGAGATTCCACTCTCAGAGGTTGATGTGCCCCCCCCCCCCCCGGCCTTGGAATGGCTACCTGCAATTACTGAGTACACAGTGCTACTTTTCTGGAGAAAGTTTATTGAAATAACCAGCATCCAGGTAATTAGGAAAAGAGACTTGTTCCAAAGGGAGGATTTGATTTTTTATAAATAAGAATTGCACCCACTTTCCAAGAGGTGAACATTTCATGTGGATTTTGCATGTGCCAATCACTCGTAAGTCCGCCTATCCTGTTCCCACCTTCATCTGTGCTTTAAAAACCTGTCCGGAAATTCACATTTAAATATATATTTGGAACATTTGTCACAAAAGATGTATTTTAAATGTATTTTATCTCAAAACATACAGTTCTAAACCATTTTAACTTAATAGATTACAGTAGACTCTCAACTATCCGGCCTCTGTACTATCTGGCCTAGTTAAAAAATAACTATCAATGAACAGTAAAATAAGTTTAAATAATTTTTGGAAGAATCAAGTCTATGTTTTATGTTAATGTTTTGTTTATTTTAAAAGTGTATGTATTCGTACTGTACATGATTTTATGTTTCCTGTAATTAAGTTAGACATTATAAAATTTATCTTAAAATGTGTACATTATTTTTATCCTTGGACTTCC